CGATGCAAAATTTAAATTAACTTTGTTATACAGATAATATCCCATGCAAACATTAAGTAAGCACATGAGTCCTACAACAGGACGTAATGTAACACAGTTATAGTTCTGTAAATAATTTTATTAATTAATCTCTTTGACGGAGAATACAACTTAATACGCTCTTAGATGAAATGTGTAGTAAAGCTGCACATCAATGTTAGTTTCAACAGCTTTAACTGTATCTTAAACACGTGTATCGAAATGTCATGTTTGCTGAATTACTTCGCAATCAATGGAAAAAAATTGCCTTATGATAACAGTGACCATCACATTATATAAGCTGCTAATAATCCAGACAGTAACTCTGAATGATGGAAAAGATCTGTGGTTCACGTGGATGATTTTGTAAAGTGTGATCTAGACTGAATGGCCGAAGTCTAGGAAACAACGTAGAGTTCTCAGTTAAGTAATCCAGCCTAGAGAACACAACAACATCAGAAATAAGTTTACACATTATTCTTTTGGAACGTAGTACCAGAAAATACCATTTTCAACTAACAAATTATTTAGGTATTATAAAAGCATTCGTTTTATACACCTTACACAAGGGCTATTACTACTATTATTACTATTCCCTTGCTCTTTAATTGGAACACAGGGCCCCAACAGAACAACCTCATTTCATCATGTGCCCCTCAATCCTCTTTAGATGGAAACACGATCACCCATAAAGCTTTCATTTCATTGGCTTATGCCAACTCCCCCATTTTACTATCGAAGCAACGTCTAACTCGTCGTTTTCCTATTTGAGTTACACTTGATACTCTGGAGTGTGCGATGTCACTCTGTGATCTCTTCGGCGTGTATATTCAGTCCACTTCTCAATTTTTAAATATTTGTTGGGTGATCGGTTCCTGGTTTGTTCGTTACCAAAGCTCTTTATAGCTTATCCTTTCTGACAATGTTATCTTCAGTATGGTGTGAAGGCAGCTGTTGATAAAAGTTTTCCGACTCTTGAGAATGCTTTCGGTGGCGCGCAAGCCAACTCTTTGAACCACAGAAAACTGACTTGACATCAGTGATGAATGCAGTAGATCTCCACAATGATTTCAGATTAATGAAGGTTTGTCTTGCTCTTGAGTTCAAACGATGCTGTAAAGGTAAGTGAGAGGGGTGATTTCCTTTAGATTTGTCCCACTGATAGTAAATGTTTCTTGTTATCCTCTGTTAGGCTAGGATGTTATAATACCCTCTTATCGTGACAGAAAGCTGAGTCACAAAACATATAACCTTTTTATCATCAGTGGATCTATCCAGAGTTTACGTCTTCAAGTATCTAGTTGCTCCAACTATGTTTGGAAAAATCTCTCCACATAAAACATGAGCATATGAAAAGCCCACTCAATACGATAACTTTTAAAGTATAATACAAAACAAATTTTATGTAAGACTATGATGATAAAGGCATTTTATTATCATAATAAAAGAATTACTGGGATGCCTCGATTTGGCAACAGGATAACCTAAATCACATGCGCATAGATAATGAGAGTCAACTTTTCCTGAAGGAATGTGATCTAGCTACTAGGTGCCAAATTCCATTCAAATCAGTCACATGGTATCATAAGACCTTCTGTCAAGAATAGACTTAATCAATGCTAAGATTAAGAAATGCAGGAAGGAGTGGAGGAGGGTGAATTTTAAAAGCTAAAAACCCATTCGACTTAGCTTCTATTTTTCTCAGTAGAATAGTAATTCTCTCACTTCCGCTATACTGACTATTGAAAGTAAAGTTCACATGATTCACATTTCTAGAGAAATGATTGAAATCACGATATCAGCCGAAAATGTTTCAATCAATTTTGATGTGCCAAATATTGACTTAAAACGAGGTTAATCTATTTTTTAAATCTTTGTTTCACTTTCTGAACAATGAAATCTCTTTGTATTTAAGGATTTTCAATTCAGAGAGGCGGTTACCAGAGAAGATCAGTAAAACAATCTACCCAACAAGATGTTTTTGGCACTGGATAGACAAAAAAATGAACCGAAGCATAATTACTTCAAGTGAGTATGTTTAGTTAGGATTTTGTTGTCCGAAACACGGTTTCTCATGCGCCATACTTATTATATGGCGGCTAATAATACCACCATCAGTAGTCACTCAAACTGAAGTTAGTGGAATGGGATTCAAACCCCAGGATTAACTGTGACAGGAAGTGAAATGTGCTGAAACTTACTAATGACTGACGTCTCCACCAAGTTGTTAAACTTCCAAAATATAGTAAGAAAGAGTCAAAATAGTGGATGCTACAATAGACAAACTTGTGTATTACAAAAAGAAGACCAGTAAACATTTTCACAGTCTGGAAAATGACAAGAAGTGAAGAATACGTTTAGGTTCATCGTAAATGATTTCGTGCTATATATATTTTTGTGATATAGTTTAACAAAACCTTTATTAGCAGATCAAAAAAGAGAAGCTTTCAGACTGATATTAGCAACCTAATAAGATATGACAAAGTGATGAATTGATATCTATGATTTAAATCAAGAAGAGATTGAAACAACTTACAAATCCTATTTATATATTTGGTGTACTGTAGGTAAGAAAAGATGCTAACGGACTTAATGACTTAGTTTCCGTGTAGATCTTTGCACAGAATTGCACAAGTTTATGTTGCCGCATCCCATGCAGCACATAAAAATAGAGAAAAGGGCGATAAAAGAAATTCGAAGGAACTATAATGAACAGAAATGTACGGAAGACAGAATAGTATCGTGTACAAACATGAGGATTTAAAGGATCTAGGAAATCAGATGGATTGAATACAACTATTGTACCACTGAGGAATGTTTTGAACTATATCACTAACAGTATCCGGTTACTCGTTCCTAACAGGCGCATCACACAAAATAATAGAATGAAAGAACACAGCTGAATTTCCTAGCGGAACTGTTTATTTTGAAAAATGACATCCAGTGAAGATGAAAGACAGGCACCTTACATTGGCACTTTCATTGGCAAAAGTTATTTGAGTTGAAAAGGAATAAGTAAAATATATTATGAAAAGCTGAGAAACAAAAGGAAAATATCTTTAATTCTTCATTCGTGAAGTTATGTGTATGAAAACAGCATATATGTTTCATCGTAAACAAGATATGAATACGCACAACCCAGTCAGTTCCAATCCTTAAGCTAAAGTACCAGCCTATAAGTCATCGTTTCCAACTTATCAGTATTGATCGTGGCACCTTTTTCACCTTGTACTACACAGTGACTGAGGTGATGCGTCTTCATGTGACTAATTTACAGAGATGGATCTACAAATGTAACACTAAAAGCAGACGTTATTCTAACAGATACACTCCCAAATGAAATTCCATTAAGTTGGAAATGAGCCACACCTACTATATGAGGGTTAGTGATACCAGCTGGCTGCCCAAACCACAGTAGGTGAAGCAGGATTCCAATTCTTGACCAACTGGCTGGAAGTCGAATGGATAGACCCATGAGACACAGCTTGACAAATACAATCTCACTCAGAAATGCAAAGAATTATGGGACTGTAACATTAAAAAAAATTTTTACTAAAAAATTTCAAGGAATTGTTACATATTTTTAATTTTACTTAATATTAAAATAACTATATTTTGCAGGCTGAAACTGGTTAAAAAAGAGATTCAACAGTTTAACACATTGGGCTGAGGCAAAAGATTTTGCCATAGTTTGACGCTCGACCTTATACAACTAATCGAATTAGTTATTGGTAGAATATACAAATATGGACGATGTATTCTTTGTCCAATAAAGTTATTTTTCTCACTATTGCCGTCCAATCATATCTTCCGTTTTCTTCCGAGGGCTTGCCAAAGAGGATAATTCAGAAAACACAGTTGCATTAGGTCTTTGGTCAAGTTGCTTACTGTAGTTAGTAAGTATTTGTGCCCATCAAGAAAGGACATATTTATATTTATTTCCAAGTTTCTACACGGACTGACAACAGTTAGAGAACCATGGAAAACCACCGAGTATTGGAGAGCAGTTTCGAACTCTTCAGCAATATGCCGCCAGAGCGCTACCGAAGACCGAAAGCACCAATGATAACCTCTATCACCTCGTGATACATGACGCGACCATCAGCGAACGTCAATAGCAAATATTTGTCCGCAAAGACAACCTGATACACTCAACCCGTCATGACATCTCACTACAACTTCATCCAGTAGGAAATCAACACTCACACCTGCATTCCATCACAATGGCTGTATGATCGATAAGTCCGCTTTGTAACCTCAAGGGTATGCGTTCCATCTCCGATGTGGTCATGGGTGCATACAGCTCAACGATTCCAAACAAGGAACAAACAGTTGTCCACCACTCCCTGCTTTTCAATCATTTCTCACCCGGAGTCACTTCATCATATAAACACGAAATCAACCAAATCACTCAGGAACAACACTTCAAAACTCACAGTTGTTTCATATCGATTATCAGAGACGGACTTTTCATGTTCAAAGCTATGATCAACACTTGCTGTTTCAGGGCTGATGATACTGTGGCCTGTGCTACTCACAAGATTTATAAGTAGTATACAAATACAAACACAAATGTGTATATCATCTACAAGAATACCAAATAGCCAAGAGATGGATTCAGTGGCGAAGAGAAGAAATCCACGACGCCTGTCAAACAACATGGTAAATATGGGAGGAAGATAAAGAAGTACAATTTGGAAGATATGTGCAAATTGTGATTCTAATGAATGATAGACGTACTTTCCCTATATGTGTATATCGAATTGTCAATAAATAATCCTGTCACCAATTTCTCTCGCCTTCTGACACTATAACGCTACCTAGTTGTTCAGACTAAATTAAGTGGGACGAGAGTCGAACCCGATAGGAATTGACTGTAAGTGCGGTGTCTAAACGAATGGGTCATATTTCCAATTTGTTTGTACAAAAAGCATTTAAGAAATAAATGTATGAATGATATGAACAACATTCAAACAACTCACAGTCAACTGATTATAGTTCAGTCGTAATACCTCCAGAGCAATAAGGGTATTGATTTCTATAGGCAGTTCTGTCAAGTGATTAGAGCCCAAATCCAATTCAACCAATGTTTTTAATTCATGCAAGTCTTAAACAGTAGTTCATAAACAAGGAAAGCAAAATGAAAAACAAATAATTCAATAATTGATATTTTTAAAATTAATGAATTGATTGTATATACGTGTGCAACAAATGAACAATATTGATTTCAGAACAAAATTCAATACACCACAGTTGAACTATGAGCAATTGGATAGGTTGACACAACATACATAGCCTGTAAGCTATGAAATAGTATGATAATTAATGTCTACGAAGTTGAAATGTTATATTTATTTCTGGCTGTCAGATAAATTAATGTGGGAACCACACACAGGGAAGCGTATCACATTCCATTGAGAAACACGTGTGCGAGGGGAAGAGTAATCAGAACAATTTCTCAAATTACGGAAAAAGAATTAGTGTTGCTTGACTACACGGCCTATGGAATAACGGCCGTCGCACATGACCTAGTTGAGGCAGTTTTTGGATTTTTTCTGTTTGAAAACCGTACATTTGTTCACGAACTGCAGCAGGCTAAGTCGGAATGCAGAGTTTCTGGGGCTGACATTTTCAAACCATGGGGAGGAACACTTCACTGCTGTTACACACCTGTTCACTAATAGTATGATATCGCCTTCAAAACCCAAAGACAGTGTAAACAACTCACCATATGATACGGTAGTTGTTTTTAGTCTAACGGCCATCCTAGTGACGATTCCGGTATCGTAAGCTTTGTTCATCCCATCCAGTGTAGCCTGTTTGGCCGTTGCTGCTATCAATCTTGACCACCATGCCAAATTAGCAGTTACCGATAGGGAATAAAATGAAGAGTAGTGGTGAAGAGCATGTTCTCCTCTTATATTATCTCTAACTTTTAGCGCCGACGCTCACAGCCAACGTAAAGCAGAGTAGAGTGAACTGCTATGTAATACAAAAGTTCATTTGTGGACAACCAATTAAGACGTGTGCAACAGAAATGTAGGATGGAAGATGCCAGACGAGCTTTTCGTATCCGTGATTATATTCTCTCAAAAAACCAGTCTATTTCATCTGAATATTCTAATACAATGCGAACCAGCAAATAGGTATACAAAGTGTGAAATTTCTGCGGTATGTATAGACAGATTTTCAGCCTTCAATTCTTACTAAACCACTCCTTATTCCGCATTATGTTAAGCAGTTTTATATGTTGTATTATTGTATTGGAAAAGTTGTATTACGGTATTTTCACATAACGATAGATATTTTGACCGAACTATCAAACGAGCAGATATTTTTTATACTGTCAATCATTTAAGGACAAAAAGTCAACATTTCAGGCATGATAACAACATTTTAACAACTATGTGACAACATACGATGCAGCAAATTGATGTTTTGAATTAACGACAAACTGTTGTAGTAAGGTTGTTGATACAAACAAGAAAACAACTAATTTTCAGTTTATTAACCAGAGAAAACAATTAAAATCAAATTCTCAGTTTGCAATTTACACAGTTTCAGGAGGTTAAATTTCATCACACCTTACTTTGAAAACCGATATTATTCAGACCATGATATGAGGTTTGCTTGATACCATAAATGATAATCAACAGACCAAGCATAAATACATAAAATTACAAACTAATGAATGATTAAATTGAGTAGCTTTATACCACTTACATAGGCCAGTAGTATTTGATAGCCACATCGAAGTGATCTAAACAGTGGATAGCCGTTCCGCTCGTTTGAGACCGAGTTCATCAGTGGTTTGATGCCAGTGGAATACAACCACTCATCTCAATCAATCAGCAGTATACAGTTTTAATACAAAAAAAAGTTATTTGTAGTGAGTAACATGTTACACAACACCCAGTCTCATTTTCATGAGGTAGGTGGTGAATCTCATCTATTGCATGTGAGGGTTAGTATGATACTACCTAGCTGTGCGAACCTAAACTGATGTAGTGGGTTGCGATCTAGTGGAACCAATGGTAGAAAGTTTAGCGGCTAAACTCATGAGCGACTTTTAAAACTAATACACTACAGAATACTAAGCACAAATAATTCAAGATATGCGTAATAAGATTTATGAGTGTAGCTAATCGGTTAATGCTAGCCATCAAAGGACGTAGGATGTGCATATTGTCCTGTTTAGAACTCGTCAGCTGAATGCACTTTCATGTTCATTAAGTGATAGTATCCGCACTAATTTTTCAACACAAAGTTGTGTAGTTACTTTCCTCCGATATATGGACAGAGGTATGATGTGTTTCGTTTTACTTTAGCGAAACGTTATTTTCGAATTCTTTTCTTGGATTTTGATTTTCATTTTGAGAGCACAATAGTGAAAGGATTAGGTGATCATAAAATACCTTTTAATGAATCTTAATGAAAACTCACTGTACTCTTTCAACGTCACAAGGATGAAGGAATATAAATATGAAAATACTTCCTGACATACAACGTTACGAACATTTAGGGCATACAACTGAAGTTTAGTATGACCGCCACAGAAATGAAAATCAAACGCTTATTTTCCTACAGGCGCTACCATGATATTCAGGTTATATGGATTGTAGTAAGACTAAAGGCAGTTACCACCACACTTGGTCGTTTACCTTATTTTCGGGTTCTCATGACTAAACTTCATTGCTGGCGAGTGTAGGTTATAACAGTAGTATGGTGTTTCCCCCAGACGATCAGCAAGCCAGATATATATTGTCTCACTGCTCTAGGAAAAGGGAGGGGGAAAGAGATTGACGGAGAAAATTGTACATCCCGATTTACTCTGCGGTGGTGAATAGCCCGCAGCAGAGTCTTCGTACAAACCTGACTGAAAAACCATCTCAATTAAGCCGTATGCGACCAACTCTGAGCTACTTTGGCCTAGACTCTTCGGTCCTTGTAGCACTAATTCTCTCCCTGTTTCATTTAGAACGAAAATATCCTGTAAGTTTTCTATATATTTATATTCACTAGACTGAGCAACTTAATCAGAGAGAAACATGAGAACACAGAAACAATGACTAATCAAAATACCAGTCCATTTATGTAGAAGCAACATTTAGAAACCGATTACAAAGTCACTTTTACAGTGAAAACAATGTTTAAAGCTAAATAAAATATGACTTTGTTTACTTGAATTTACTACGAACACAACAGACATAACATAAAAACTAACCTGGTCCAATTAAACTAGCCAATGTATTATCACGTAAATTCAATTTTGTCAAATTTGTAGCCAAACTGAACATAGATTTTGGAATGTTTGTAATCTGATTATGATCCATATTAATTGTCTAAAAAAACAAAAGGAGTCGAAAACAGAATGTAAAGCCAGAAAGTCTATCGTATATAGATTTGTACTCCAAAAAAAGAGACATGTAATTTTACAATAACTATCTCGTAGGATACAGGAAAAGGACGGGAAGCAATAAACATAAAGTTATCTGTCCAATTAAATAATTAGCAATACACCAATCAAATTGATATACTTTTATGCCACTCCTGCTCAGGTGAGTTTTAGTGTTTTAACCAAAACTCGAACCACTGTTTCAAAAACTTATGGCTTTCTAAACGCAGTAAAAGCAAAACTTGAGGGAGAGTCTTGTATACAAAATGCATTTATCATGAGTATGAGATTCTATGTGGGCCAGTGGTTAATTGATAGAACGCTTGCCAACCACGCATGGGATATGGGTTCGATCCCTGACCGAATCACGCTTAAACCGCGAGTAGCTGGGAGCAAAAAGTCTGTAAAAAAGGTTGGGTGTGAGGCTGGCGGTCGTAAGAAGAGCGTCTTTGCCACTAAAACTTCAAAGTTCACGCTTGAAGACCGGTGTTCTGCTAGGAACAGAAAGGGATGGGGGAAAAAAATGAAATTCTATGGGAGTGAAATACGCGATGTCACCAAACATTGTGGTATAAATGTCACCTTAAAATCGAAATAACTGTTACCCTAAGATTTACCCAAGCAGGAAACCTAAGTTGGAGACTAAAAAGATGAAAATCAGTTAATATCTTCATGAGAATTATTAAGATTTCTAAAAGGAACTTCTTGTTAGACTGATGACTGTTATGAGACCACCGAAGAGCTTTCTCAAACTTATAACCTACTCATCGCAATGACAGTTAGAGGAAATCGAAGGCTTAGAAAGAAAAAGATTAAACTCATCAAAGTCTCTTAACATAGACACAATAAATATCCAGATACTTCCGGTGGTTCTTAAGACCAAACACAAGCTCTTATTTATGATTTTCAAATAAAATTCGCCGACTACACTAGAAATGTATCATACCTAGCAATGATTGATCGTGCTATTAATTTTATCAGCCATGACAGAGATCTTACAGGTTCCAAATTACGCATTCGCGAACAAGGGGAGAGGATAATCAATTGCCCACCATTGCTACACTTTTTCCTGTACACCATTTTCAAAACCATGATGGTCGTATTGTATTCTGCCGGATACTGACGATCAGATGGCTGGTCAGGAAGGAAAAGCAACAAGTGACCTTAAAAGTGAACCACCCGAAAACCCACTATGTAAAATGTAATCGAACAGAGGTGGAGATGGATTGAACCATCAAGTGACATCACACGCCAGACCCCAAAGCGGAACGTGAATGGTGAGCAAGAAGTTAAACGTTCGAGGGTGACAGAAAAGAGATCATGTGAAGAGAAAGCAAAAGATTATGGGTAGTTGCAGAGTCAGTTAAAAAAAGACGCCAAAGAATAGAATAACTATGGAAGTGCGCTGCTGAAGCTCAATGTTCCATCTGGAACACAAAGGACAATTAGTAACAATAACAGTAATAATATGTAAAACTAAATCATTCTTGACGTACTTGTGAAAACCAACCAAGTGTGTCATAGAGAAATGATTGCCAAAGTACTAGCTCAGTTGTACGAAGATACTTAACTACTCCATACAACCAATTTTATGCAATAATTTACATTATAATTTAGGCAAACTCAATTGGTAGAAGAAGGAAGGAAATACTTGCCAAAAATAATCTACAGTCATGTGATTGATTAAACAGACAAAATATAAAAAATGGCTGTGGTCACGTGAGACAGTAGAAATTTTTCAGGAAAAACGTAGACGTGCTCACAAATCAGAGCTATTATACAATATATATATATATATATATACGATCAAAATGCGTCAGAACCCAACACCCGATAAATTGGATGAAACAACGCAAACAAAATGCAGAGAATAAGCTTTTCTCCTACTCACCATATTTACGAAAGAAAACTAGCTCAAAATATTATAATTTCCTTTCTTTATATAAATTGCTTTCGGAGGGACAGAAATTGCGTGAATTGATGCCAAGAATTATGGGAGGTGTATATGACTCGTCAGATCACGCAAATAATTATCAGGCGATTAACATCCTTTATGCCATATTACTTAATATAAAATATAGTGACAGTCTAATTATCAATAATAATATTAATAAATATAGCACTGTGTGTCATGTACCAAGTGAACTTATCTAGTAGGGGATCATGTTCTACTACAGAGGCGAATTATCATTCATCAGTAATCTAATTATACTTCCATTATGGGTAAATTTTTATTTTGATAGAGTCTCACAGTGTTATACAGTAATATTTACTGATGACGTTTCGAGCACAATTTATTGCTCATAATCATATCAAGGTAATCACACGACTTCCTAAATTCATTTATATAGTTCCATTGTTTTTCACTTGATTTAGAATCCTACGTAGGGTCTCAGATGTTCTACGTAAGATTCTAAATAAAGCAGGAATTAGGGTGGCATTTAAACCTACAAACTCACTCAGGGACAAGCTCTGTAGGTTAAAGGATCCAGTGGACCCAATTAGACAAAATAATATAATTTACAAAATACCCTGCAATGACTGTGAGTTAAGTCAACTACATAGGTCAAACTAGTAGGTCAGGGGTAGTCAGATTGTCAGAACATAAGAATTTAGCTAAGGTAAGAATGGTTGACCCAGAGAAGATAAGTAATTTAGAAAAAAGCTCGGCAATTGCAATGCATGCATTAACACACAACCACACAATAGGGTGGGAGAGGGTTAAAATTCTAAAAAGTAATCTAGGTAGGTGGAGAGAGAGGTTGATTACTGAATCTTTGTTCATCGAATCTACAGCCAACACATGCAATAGGAATGAATCATCACTCATACCTGAAATATGGAAAATAATACTACCAATCAAATCAAGTGAAAATCAAGTGAAAAACAATGGAACTATATAAATGAATTTAGGAAGTCGTGTGATTACCTTGATATGATTATGAGCAATAAATTGTGCTCGAAACGTCATCAGTAAATATTACTGTATAACACTGTGAGACTCTATCAAAATAAAAATTTACCCATAATGGAATTACATTCTACCACAGTGCCCAAGTTTTATATTTATATCAATCTAATTATACGTTAGTCTTCTTCATTACACAGAATTATTCATTGTATTGCACAGATATCTATTTCTCATACACTTTGATACGCTTTTCTTAATAACTGGGAATAACACATGAACTTTGTTAGCGATTGTCACTGTACACATTAATCTCAGAATGACTGGGCTGTTTTGAACAGAATTTACAAAAACCGACCTCTTCGCTGACTTATTCATTGTGGAACTGAGGAGTTTTCCGGATTCCATAGGAGGATAAGTTTTTTTTCTGTATGGTGAAGCTTCATTAGACAGAGGGTTATTTCTTACACCCGAAATTCCCCCTTTTCGGGGCCTTCGTAAACTAAGTAGGGTTACCAAAGTGTTACGTTATCTTCTCTAACGATGGCATGACATCAAGCTACAATATATTTGTGAGCTCAGGTCAATTGTTCGTCATTTATTTGGGAACAATGAATTACGTAGATACACTAATTTTTCTTCCCCATATTATATGATAAGGTCTTTCATCTGCCCCCCTCGATGTTCCCTCATCAGTTCACCCACTCTTATACAGAAAGGCACACCTCTCTATCAATACTACTATATTACATTATTAATTTATATCTGAATGGTTAGAACTGTAAATTAGTGTTCAAGAGAATACATAAGATATAATGGAAAAAGTTAATAAAATTGACATCTACTAACTTAACAACCAGTACAGTTCATTCATACCAATTGTTAGCAAAATTGGCATCGTTGGAATAAAGAGTAAACCCAATGCTGTGAAATATAAATTTAAAAAGCTGATGATCTAACCTTTCCCAGTTAAAAAAGAGGCTAGTCACTTCTACAAACTACAAATAAACAATTTTTTAACAGTCAAATGAAACTTTGAAAACATAGTTAGGTACTGAAATCCCTTACGAGGCGCCCTCGAGTGAAACTCGTATGAGAAACAACCGGTTAGGTGTCCGAAAGTGACATAGGGGAAATTATATGACGAGGAAATGAAAGTTTATGGGTAACCGTGGAGTCATCTGAAAGGGACTGTAAAGAACAGAGTGAGACGGAGATGTGTTGAGAAAAACGTATGTCCTACTCGGAAACCAAGGAAACAATAATAACATAATATTGCTTCAGAGAGAAAACCCTTAAGGGAAAGTATAATTCACAAAAATATATGTATCAGAGAGAACATAAAACAAATAAAAGGAATGAGGTATTCAGCGAAGAGTTACTCTTTTCATCATTATCACTACGTAGTTGTAAAATTACGTACATATATAATACATACTCGTAACAGCAGAATGAATATTTCCGAACATGTGTCATTAAAATCTTGTTTTTTAGATAGCAACCAAAAAATTTTAAATTATGTAATACAGAAAACATTACTCAGGTAGACCAAAGCAAAATTAGGAAAACTGAGTGATGTAACACGACTGAGTAGAGGTAAACTAAAATTGAAAAAAGGTCAAATCAAAATCAGTGTCATGTTGAGTAGACGTATAATAAGTGGAAATAGAGAAATATTACATTTTAAGAAAACGTTATGCGCCAATGTTTAGACAAGAAATCACTGAACTTACAATGGTCTTGATTTGTCCACACATTTGACCTGTAAATTTTGTTTTCTAAACTTATATTTTCTACTTTCCTACTAAGTATTTTAAAGGAGACATTCCTTCTGTTGCTACGATAATGTAAAACATGTACGTGAGACTGCACAATTTGAGAATGATACCACTGAAGAGTAAGTATTCACTAAACGCCTCTTCTTTGATATAAATTAAAAATAAAACATATCTGTTATACTAACATTATTTACACCGAATAACAATAAATGTCAACTGTTGTTTTCCACTTGGTTTTTTGAATTGGTCTCTTTCATAGTCTTCGTTTCATCTTTACTCATATAAATAATTATAATACTTCAATGTTTCTTTATCAGTAAAAAACTATTTTTATACTATATTTCTAATACTATATTATTTTGGTTTCCATGCCCTACGTGATTAATATTTACCTCTCATTACACTTGCAAATTTTATTATTCGAGTTGACATTTTTATTTTTTTTTATTTTATTTTTGATTACAGCTTGATTCCACACCGTATTTTTGGTACAGGTATGGAATTTTCAGCATGTGATATCAATAGCCCAAATTTTGCAGGCCGACCATAGATATCAGGTGTGCGTCGGCAGGGGATCGAACCCCGGACCATGTGCATGGTCGGCGAGAGTCCTAACCACTGTGCCACCGACGCACCAACATTGGCTGGCGCTAAAAATCGCGAATTCATGGGCTGGTCATTGGATTCCCTCCCAGTGGTTGAGTAGTCAGAGAGATAGCCTCTTAACCTGGACGTCCTCGGTCGGATCCCTGGTGGGGTCGTGCGTGCATACTGATAAAGTTTCCCGAACTAGGACGAAATAACTGTTCAGTACTCCATGCTGGCTTTCAATAGTTCTCTTAATGGTATCGATCCATGATACAACTTGAAGTCAATAAAATCCCCACAGACTAACACTTGAATAAAAACTATTGTCTCTTATAAGTTTCATCTTTTTGCCACTATGTCGAATTAAAGAATAATTTTAACCAAGCTGACTTTTAGGGTGAAAGAAAAAAGTGCACATAAATTGCAATATTTCACCTACTGAGAATGAAATCAAAAAGTGTCTTCTGCTAAACATTTTAGGTTTACTTCCCAATGCATCATTTTAAAGATGAAAAATTTATGGTTAAAACAAACTTGGTAGGTTATAGGCACCACCTGAGGCTCCATAAAAATGTCTCATTATGTGTCCGAAGTGAAGGATACCACCCGCAAGGCCAGACCAAAATAGGTGGTTATCTCAGGGGGCGACCTCCGAGCCTTTGACTTGAAGTCTGATCCACAAGGCAGTAGTGGACTAGCATCAAGACATGCATTCCAATAGCTTCCAGTGACTAAAATAGGCTCATACACCATTAGGCCCGTTCGGATTTCGGAGCCCATGTACACCGCAGGTTTCGAATAAGTTTTCCAGCTCCATTAGGTAGGCCGACATGTCCACCAGTTCAGATGTAAGCGCCGGACGTTCTCATCTGGCCTTTCACTTTTATGAGGAATACCTCAGCTTTACTGTCGGCTCACACTTGTACAGGAGATAAAGGTGTTTGTATTCACTTAATATAACCTAGTCTATAAACAAATACCAGTTTGCTTAAATTAGCAAAAGTGTAATGAATTACGCCTGAAATTGTTAGTACGAAAAACATCCACTCATCGACAAAAATCATAGAACACAATACCAGCCATCTAACCTAAACAGACGCTTGTAAAATGAGAGAAAGGGAGTGTGATGATAAAAATATCTGTGACATAGAATGAAAAAGCATGCCTTGTCATGATTTTCATTAGGCAGTACGTATATATATATAAGTACACACATTCAGAATGACAAATCAACAAACCAAAAACCAGAACATACCATATCACGTGAGGAGGAGGTCTAGAGCACATGATACTACCATCTCATGATCATTTAGTTAACGAAATGAACAAAAGTAGCCTGCAGGGGAAAAGAATCGCACATCACATATATTATATTTTATTTCTTTCGCCTCCTTCTAATGGTTTATTGTACAAATTGAGCAGAAAGTTGGATAGTATGCGTGGATTTTGTTAGTGTCATTTACATAAAACTACTAGGTCTCAATATTTTGAGAGAAAAAAGTTACGTAGTTGACTATATGATCAATTTTATGCTCATAATTCTGTTTCAACAAACAGTGGAAGATGAAAAGTGTGAAATATATACCTACGACTATACTTTTGATCACTCCTTTAAATAATAGTAAGTATTTCACGTGTATTCGTATTCAGCTATAGTATTATATTAGTTCATTCCCTTGGGTTCCGAGTGGAACATAAGTCTTCAGTAGCACACTTCCATTTTACCTTGTTCTTTATAGTCTTTTTTGCTGACTTCACAGCCGCCTATAAGGTCTCATTTCTACCTCATACGAGTTCCTCCATGTCACCCTCAGACCACAGTCCAGCTCATCATTTCCTATTCGAGTACCACTCAAGGATCTGGTGAGTGGTTTCAATTAACGGTCTTCTCACAATATGTCTAATCCACTTCCATCACCGCCATATATGTTGGGTGATAGATTCTTGGTTGGTTTCTTAACAGAGTTTTATGTTGCTTACTCTTTCTGGCCATCAGATTTTCAACATGGAGCGAAAGCAACTGTTTGTAAACTGTTGGAAATAGTTTTAAAGACGCGCCAAGCCTCTGAACAGTAGAGAAGCACGGTGAAGATCCAGAATTTTTCCCCTATGCTGACTGCAGCTAGCCGTAATAGATTTTCTATAGTTTGGTTTGTAAGGGTTAGTTTCGTTTTTTACGAGTTGATCACGGATTGAAATCAGTTAGAGAACCATTGAAAACCAGGGTGTACTGGACAGCTGTTTCAAACTAGTTTGGGAGTCATAGGCAGTACGCACCCACTGGGATATGAACGCATTGAATTGGGTTCCACTGGCTGAATGGTATACGAGTTTGTTTTGTAACCAGAAGGTCCTGGGTTGGAATCCTAGTGGGTGCGTACTGCCGATGACTCCAAACTAGGGTGAAACAGCAGCTGTCCAGTACTCCCTGGTTTTCAATGCTTCACTAACTGATATCAATCCGTGATCAACTCGTAATAGATTTCCCAAATGTATCAGGCTATAACCTACATTTATTGTATGAGGCCTGATGATAGCACTTGAGGGATTATCTGAAAAATCCGGGATTACTATTCTAATTCGTCGCCTGGGCTTCAGAAGCACATCATTACACTATTCTGTTCTCTGACGTCTCTTTATGCGGCACAATGACTACCACCAAGCTTTTTTTCCTCTTCCCATACTCTTCTCAAAAGATGTCAGTTAGTGAAAAGAATTACCAGATGAGATAAATGGCTTTAGTGGTCATTTGGACGATTAATAGGTAAAGTATCTGTCTATTGTACTATCAGACAAGGTGAGCGAAAAATCCAAGATCTTTATTACTGTTGATTCTTTTATAAAAGCTAGTGACATTGTCTTTTGTTACAAATACACATATACAGATATAAGAAAGTTTGAACGGATTTACTTAAGGGGGAGAAATATTGATTTTTGAAGGATTGCTAACTTAGAAGCAAATTAAGGTATTACAATGCATACAGTGACTCACAATCACGCAACAGAATGAGACAGAGTTACTTACAGCTCTAAAAAGTAATATAAGTAGGTAGAGTCGAACCTACACCTCACAAGTGCAAAGCAGGAATGATGTAACACCAATACCAGAGATATGGGAAATACTATTACCAATAAAATCAAAGGATGAGAAATAATAAAAGTCATATGAGCACCTTGGTATGATTATGAAGAACAAATTGACCTCAAAACTTTATCAGTAAGTAAATAATACTCCATCACTGTGTTTTATCAAATAAAATTATTCTGTTACAGATAAATCTTACTAATGCAGTTGGCAAGGTATCAGACCTAGTGCGCGTGTAACGGCCAGTTATGCTACTTAGCTACCCAAACAACAGTAGGAGGAGAGGGGTTTTAACACGTGACCATCTAGTTCGGAGCAGGAGAGCTCCTGAAGTAATATACCAATTCAAAAGTTAGCAACTAACTATAAGGTGCTTGCTACACTTAATTCACTACACTGTTTACTCAATAGCAATGTGAAAAACGATAGTGAATATGTAACAGAATTTGGTCAACCAATAAAATTTTTTGTATTGAAAGAGAGAGGGGGAGGGGGAGGAAAGGAGCTAGGGAAACAGCGTGACTAACTGGCGAATTGTCCATTTATCTATCTATCGGACAATCAGACTGTTTAATTAAGATAGCTTTATAACATAATGCGAAACAATTTATTAAACTAGAGAATAATTTTATTAGGTGAGAGACGAAATAAAGTCATTTCCGTGTGATGAAATGATTCAAATACGAAGTGATAAACAGTCCGTGATTTCTTCACATTCATTGCAAACAAAAGTACATCATATAAATGCATTTATTAGTAGCTGACAGGGTCTGGATTACACCATTTAAATAGCCATCTACTGAACTAAGATGCAAGGCTAACATTTGAATCCAAGACGCAAGTTTCGTCCTATTTGGGACTTTTCAGATAGATGCATTTGCACCACCCAGTGAGATTTGAACCCACCAACTATCATCTCCAACGTCAAAGCATTCACCACTAAGCCTATGGATCACGAGATCGTTATAACTGTTTTTGAGAGTTCCATAATTCCGTCTCCGTATAACTTCATAAAGTACAGTTTCACGTTGAGCCACGAAATGGTGTCGGTTAGAGAACCATTGGAAACTAGAGAGTACTCCCTGGAATCTGAATGACTGCCATTTTGGATTAGGATACTGAACCTACCCCAATACAAATTTAGGGTTAGATTAGTGTTAGTCCATGGTTAGATATGGATTTGTGCAAGATGACTGTTAGGCTAAGAGTAAGGATGGGTTAAAGTTCGAAATAATTGGTCGGGATTTAGTTTAAGGCACTGTTCTGGATGAAATCTTACCCCTAAATCCTGAGCAGCGTTTACTATACATTATGAATCCAATATACCGGTTATGACTAAACTGTTACCTACGCAAACTCTGACAGACCACCTAAAGGTCGTTCTTGAGCTTGTTCGTTTAAATCACCATTCTTTAAGTCCACCTGATTCATAATTCAAAAAAGCAGTAAGGTCAACTAATAGATAATATACCTAATTGACAATAATAATTATGAGGATTAAATGTTTCCCTTCACAGTAATAATAATAACTTACATAACACTTTTGAAATTGCTGTGGGTCACCGGAGGGAAAGTTTGTAAAATAATTTCTTGACAATGTGATATTCAGTAGATTAGGTAAGTAGGAAAGAAGATTATGCTGAAAAGCAAGATAATAAAACACAATTGTCAATAAATATAAATTCAGACCATTTAATTTCAGTTCTCAAACATATCGAAACATTGAATGCGCAAGTAGTAAAATGGAAACTTTCAGTAAAAAGCAGACTACAACTTAAAAGTTTAAACATATTAGCTACAGAACCATTCTCAAATCGGATGTAGTCGTATACACAAGTCCCATTAGTAAGGCAGTTTCAAAGACAACCAAACAATAACCGAGTAACAACAGTAACCGAGTATATTATGTCCATTTAGGAGAAAAGCTTTAGTAATCTAGGTGAATCATCTTAGGTGAACTTAGAGTAATTGGTAATACGTATACCAGGATTTTAAGGAGTTCCAACTGATATCTAATACATCGCGATCTCTTGACGAGCTAAACTGACTGGAACGAATGTATCTGTAGATTTTACACTCCCAGAAAGGCAGTTCGAATAACAGTTAGACTAAAAGCAGTTACCACTGTAGTGAAATTCACATACAATATGTTAGGCAACAAAGACAATGTTTTACTGTTAGTGAATGGAGATGCAACAGTAGTAGAGTGTTTCTATCGGATTAGCTTATACTGTCTCCCCACTCTTCTGCTGGTGGACGTTAGGAAAGGTCAACGGTGAAACTTTCATAGGGACACAATACTAAAAACCACTTCATACCCTGAGCTTCATGCTTATTGGTACTCATCAATAGGGCATATCTGCTACCTTGAAAGGATTGGTGTCCTCTGAAATTCCAGTTTTCGCCAATCAACACTGCAGTCACAGAGGGCACCACTGAGCTATTAGGGACTACGACTGATCTTCTTCAGGACTGTAACAGCCATATTGACTAGTCATTGGAGGCGCTAAATACTGTCACGTGTCTAGTCTTTAGTGTTGGTGATCACAGAAGTCTATCCCACCAACTAACGATGTGACTACCAATTTAAGAGACCTGTTATAGAGATGCATTCATTGCAATCATTCGTTAAATCAGAGTTTCTCCACTTTCACATTATTTTACACAATCGCATTACAGAATGCATTACTGCTTACACTAAATTGTTACCACTTAATGAGACATGCAGAAAATAATAAAATAACATACAGACTGAACAGAAAAATAAATTATACAGTGGTAAGACATCTGATTATATTTATACGCTAAGATTTCTCTTTCTATTCCTTGAGTTCCCAGAGGAATACAGGTCTTCAGCCTTTTAAAGTAGCCGTAGCAATGATGTTGTTCTTTTTTACGTGATAAGATTGCTGGCGTCACGCACGAATTTCCGCCTTTGTTGGGTTTACTGTACGGTAGTAAACTGGATGGTGTTTAAGAATCGAATTTAGATCCCTCGCGTGACTGACAAGCATTCTACAACAGAGGATAAGATAAACCCACACAAACAACATATAGTATAGAAAGAGGAGACCGTTAACTTACAGGAAGAGAGGATAACTGATTGTTTTCTACATTAAATTCATCAAGTTTTACACAATTGGCCAAACTTGCAGGAATTTCTACCAGTTGATTATACCTTCAATAGAAAAGTAGAATTATGTTAGAAATCTACTTCACCTTTTACTTCAGGAATCAGGTAAAAGAATGTAAACACGTGAGTTAATACTTATTGGTATTACTTAAAGGAAGTCACTAAAGTTATAAGTTAACCATAATCGATAAAAACCTGCGTGACTCCTGATATATATATATATATATATATATATGCATTCAGCCCCACAGATAAAGTACAAATAATGCTGCAGGAAAAACATCTGATGACGAGATTTACAGAAATTACTCATACTTTCATTCGATAATATGCAGGTCAAAGACTCAAAAGCAAATAACTGACACGATCAACACCACCTACAAGATAAAGTGTGCCAACTGCGAAAAGTAATTTATATTCGGACAAAGTGGAAGAACCTTTCCATTTCGAATCCAGGAGCAAAAACTAACTGTTAAAAGACATAGCATGTATTCGTTCATATCAACTATGGACGCTAGTTTGATTGGGAAAAAAGTGTGAGAATTTTAAGCAGTGGAAATACTAAAAGTGCCAGAGAATTCCTAAAAATCTAGTACTCAGACCAATCTTCACATGACAAATAAATCAATAAAAATAGGTCACACCGCAAAGTGGTTAAAAACCAATACAAGGATAAGAAAACTACTGGGGATAACCAGTCAAACAGAAGACCACCGCGTTTCTCATTGAATTAACTATTGAAGATGTTGTCTGAAAGGACAATGAAAGCTTCACAAATAAACCAGTCAGCTTAGAAAATGCGACCACACACACACACACACCAAAAAATTCTAATTGAGCCATAAATCATTTCGTTATTTCTATGCTATATTTCAAATTCCAAATGTAAAATGAAGTTAAATACATTTACATATTTCCTGCGTCTCGATATTTCCTTAATGATTGGTTTTTTTTCTGCTGGGTTCGCTTTGGTAGCCCCAACCTTCCCCCTTTCTTCCGGTTTAGGAGCCCGTAGTAAGTTAGATGAGGTAACACGGAGATGTAATGGAAGTCTGTGGGTAGCCCTGGGAGTGAACCAGTTACAAAACAACCGTAGAGAACCGATTCAAATGGAAATGCGCTGCACTATTGACACGAAGGACGAATAATAATAACTAATAATATTGTATAGTGAGCATAAATATGCATTAAAGAATACATGAAATGGAATCAGAATGAAAACAGTTTGTACGTGACTGATTAGCAAAAATTGTAAAGCTGCTAATAAAAGTATGTAATATAGGAATGCAATGTACAAAAAGGAATCAAATAAATAATTACACATCTGAGCTGTATATAAAAAGTACAATAGTTGACCTCTACACCAAACTGCTTGGTGTTTCGTGTTACAATACAATACGATTTTAACACTAATTGAATGAAGATTATACAGGATTTTTCATAAAACCACAATGAAAATGAAAAAAGAGCCAAATATGGAATAGATACTACTAATAATGCTAATATCATTTAACGATAAATAGGTTCAATAGATGGTACGATGGAACTTGAAATGAAAAATTCACCTCTTTCGATGAAAATAACAGATGAATTGACCTTCACACATTCCACTAAACCAAACAGAGTGCATGCGTTACAGATATCTTTTTAAAATTACACACGATTTTAAAAAAAAACGTTTACTGAATTAACCATTAAATATTTTAATAGAATGAATACGTTTTTTGTCAAAGCAGAAACTAACAACAGCTGATTCAAAGTGGACATACAAAATAATATATTAATAACTTTATTCTTAACAACTTAAATCATAGGAATTATAAAAAATACGATTGCAGTGATGGGAATTTTTTTTTCGATGAAGTTATCAACTAGGCTGTACAATCCTGTAATCATAGTGAATGGTATAGTATAGTGGTACTTCACCGCCAGCCTACGAGTGACATTTTCTTGCAAAAAACGACTCAACCAGTATGTGAAATACAAGCTGTCACACTGGACCACTTCAACATGCATATATCAGTTCATTTGCTCGTATGGAGCTGAGTACCTTGACTGTTTCATACGTTCACCCCTTGACCGGAAATAGTTCTGGAACTTTCTAACTCATTTACTATAAATACACGAATGTGCAGCCTAGTTGATGACTTCAACGAAAAGAAAATTTTCATCGCTGCAACCATCTTTTTAAAAATTCTTAACAGCTTCTTTACTTGCAGTACACAATATTCAGCTGGCTTTTATCTACTCTTTATACAGAATATTGAGGTAAAAAAAAAAATAATCTACAGCATATATATCATTCGCCAGAATTTCATTCTGTATAGAACGTGTTTGTGCCATATTAACAGACGCAGTGCGGTATAATGCAAACGATTTAATAACGCACGTAAATACAGATTTTCCTTAAAAAGACGTAAATAGGTGATTAAAACAAAGCATAACTCAGTATATTTGACGCATAGTGCTTCGCAGAAAACTAGGTAGCTCTACGATTTAAGCAGGCTGCCATCACGACAAGTGAACACTGCAAAACTGCGGAACGTAGTACTATTGCACAGTGATCCAACCAACCCCACTGCTTCATTTCTGTCTGTTTATGCATCAAGAAGGGATCGAAACGACAACAAAAAGAGCTGAGAAGCATGCAAACTATCGTCGTAAAATTGAATAAGGCAAACGAAGATAAACTAAATAAAAAGAAATGTAATACTACTATTATCAAAGTGAAATGAAGTATTTCATGTGTTTCATTCAAACAAAAGGTTTTTTTAAGTTTTTGGTTTGTTTTAATATTGACCCTATCAAACATAGAACCATTGGAAACCGAGAAGCATTAGATGAGGATTACGTCACAAATTACATATCTAGTCGTGAAATACAGCGATAGAAGGACGGAGTAGCTATCAGGTCCTCAATTCGGTTCACTACTTGCCAACTGTTTCATGACGCACCTAGAAGCAAGCACTCCACAACCAGCTTTAAATAAGTTCAAAGTCTACTTACGTTATGTGCATGATATTCCCATCATTCTCTGTGAAAATGTTGATCTAAATAAAATCCTTGAAGTGTTTGGTAGTCCTCAAGTATTAGTCTGTAGGGATTTGACTTGTCTCAAGTTTTACCAGGGATTGATATCAGTTAAAGAACCACTGAAAGCCACCAAGGAGTACTGAACAGCTGTTTTGTCCCAGTTTGGGAGTAATCACCAGTACGCACCCACCAGGTATCGAGTCAAAATCTCTCGGTAGTAAGGCCACCTCGTAGACCATTTAGTCACTGGGATCCGAGTCAATGGACCACCAGCCAGTGTCTTCACCCCCAACTGGGTGGATCCCACTGGTCATGACCAGAACCCCACCTTCATCTCATAGCCACTAGCGAGCATCAAATAATAATTATTATTGTAATATTTATCGATCAGTTGTTTTTACTTTAGAAGAAGACTTCCCTTCTTAGATGTCCAGTTTTCGAAAAGAACACATACATCAATTCAGCATAAACCAAAATGCAACAGGCAGCCAACTAACTTCTATCTCTTTAACCCATCAAGTAAAAAAAGAAACCTTATCACAAGAATCAGTCACATATGACCATAAGACACACCAAATAGAGAACTGGAGTCTCCATAACGCTAATTCAAAATGGTTATTCACCAGCATTCATCAATAAGCGTATGACAGCTCAGATGGGTAATCCATGAAAGGGCAGAAGTATCAAAGAAAAAGTTAGTTGTAGACGCAAAATAATAATAATAATAATGACAATAACAGCCGAAATTCTTCAAAGCAGATTCGGAAAACATTCTTCATCGCATCTCTACATCTTACCTTTTCCACACAACCTCTTATTCATTAAAATGTCAAAGAATATGTTCTACTTTTGCCGGAATAAAGGTACCTTGCTTTTGTGGAATCAAGTACTTAGGCCATATCACGGTAGGATATTGTCCAGATGTGCACATGAACATCTCCCAATATGGTTGTCCAAAGAAATTAGACGAATCACTAGTTCAATTTTTAAGCACCTTGTCCTTACAAATCATTCCTCATTGATAGAAAAATCCTTCAAAGTGATATATGAGCCCACAGTAGTTCCTGCTATAACGTAAGGAAAACTGTGAACTGTGTGTACAGAGTCAGTTTACCTTATGCGTCTCACGACTATGACCATAACTTTTCCTTCTTTTAACTTGTACAATAATTAGTATGTAATGCATGTCAAATCAGTCTTTTCTTCCAATCTCCTAGTTTTCAAATATACCTTATAAATATTTTGGATCTCTTACTCTTATGAGCTTGTAGTTATAATGATAATCATTTCTGAGCGACAGTCTCATTTGATGTTTTTAGACTGAATTATTCATTACTTTCCCTGACCTGTAATTTCATATAGCTTGTTAAGAACTGACCTTCATGGGAATTTCCCTGACGTATTAAAACACCTTTTAACTGTACAATTTTGAAGAAGTTTCGAAGGGAATATTCTTTGCTGACCTATGTTTTCTTTAATTTATTATGAGCAAAATAAACTGATGGGCGTACGTGTGCATGTTTGCGAGTGCATAAAAAGGACTCCCCACTTAAAATACTGAATACGATAAAATATCAATAATACTAGTGATCACATGATACGTTGACAGATAAGTGAAGAATATCACACAAATACAAAAATGTCTCACTTGATAGATAATCTACACAAGTTGACTAAATTCCCTATACTGTCAGGAAGCTTTGTCAGTTGGTTATGTTGAAGATTAAGATCACGGAGCGAGGTACACTGTCCAATACCTGTAAAATTTAATAATGAATGATAAGGATCATCATAGAGAATTAAATGAAAGAAATTGTTTAAATCCATAGAATGGTCAAGAGGCCCATCTCGTAACCCACAGGTCATAGGTTCGATTCCCGGCGAGATTATGGGTGGGCGCCCCGAAAACAATGACCTAGACTTCACACACCTCCATGCAAAGCTATCCAATCACTTTTTAAGCTAGAATACAAACTGGCAAGATTTTAGTAAGCGGGACGTCCGCACCTCCTTATATATATACATATATATATATATATAACTAATTTATTTCACATATGTGACAGCATTTAATCTGAATTACAAAAAGGCGTTGAATAACCGGTCAATGGACCACAACATGTTGTAATTATTTGCATGACAAAACTGATCTATGTAAACAAGGCAAAATAAAATAACCAACTACTTTTCCAGAAAATATTCAGTCAATACCCATAGAAAAATGAATATTAAGTTTTGGCATACATATCAAATGTCTCCCTATAACAACAACAACAACAGTAACAAGTGTAGTTGGAACGGCTAACTTACTATCAGGCAGGAAAGTGATGTGATTAAAGGATAAGTCCAATTTCACTAATTTTGTCAATTCACCAATAGAGCTAGGTAAATCTTGTCGGATTAGATTCCGGCTCACAACCAATACAGACAGGTGCTAAATAAAGACGAATAACAAAGAGGTATATTAACAGGTTTATCAGGAATATACAGAAATACAAAAGCAACAATATTTGCCAATCTCAATGGTCCATTTAAACAGAACGATACAATAAGTATTTGTTTTAGCACTATGTTGGTGATAACTGAAAGAAAAATGAAAATTAAAGTCACGATCACAGTGGTTAGGACGTTCGCCGACCATGCACATGGTCCGGGGTTCGATCCCCGGCCGACGCACTCCTTTGAAGGCGTCGGTGGCATAGAGGTTAGGATGCTGGCCGACCATGCACATGGTCTGGGGTTCGATCCCCGGCCGACGCATTCCTTTACCTCGCTAAACCAGAAATAAAGATGGTAAAGGGGAAAGGTTGGGCACGAGGCTAGCAACCTCATCCTGTAAAAATAAACACTGCTAAAGAAACTTCAAGCCTCTGGCTTGAAGCCCTATGTTCCAATGGGAACGTGAAGGAAAAAAAACAAAGGCGAATAAAAGGTGACACTTACTTTCAACTAGATATGGTTTACGAGAGGCTTAGAAACAAAATTACACAGGATTAGGATATAATTGTAAAATAGTTATTGGGTCCCAGTGGCTGAATGGTATACGAGCTTGCCTTGTAACCGGAAGGTCCCGGGTTCGAATCCCAGTGGGTGCGTACTGCCGATGATTCCCAAACTAGGATGAAACAGCAGCTGTCCAGTACTCCCTGGTTTTCAATGGTTCTCTAACTGATATCAGTCTGTGATCAACTCGTAAAATATATTTGTAGTGACGAATTAAAAGTCATTCTTGGTTTCATTTGTGCGTCGTTGGCACAGCGGTTAGCATGCTCGCCGACCATGCACATGGTCCGGGGTTCGATCACCGGCCGACGCACTCCTTTAACTCACTTATCCAGTAATAAGACTGGTAAAGAGGGAAGGTTGGGCATGAGGTTAGCAACCCCATCCTGTAAAATAAGCACTGCTACAGAAACTTCAAGCCACAAGCTTGAAGCCCTATGTTCCACTGGGGAACGTGAAGGAAAAAAAAAAGTCACGATAGGATTCCAACCAGCGACCTCAGAATTACTAATCAGATGCTGTATCCGGTGAGCTCAGATACTGCTATGGTCTGGATTTTTACTTCACCCTTAATTATGTCCCATTCTACATCACTGAGACTGAAAACCAAACTATCGGAAATAATCTCACTGTAACATAAACAGTTTGTGTTCATTGTAACTACCCACTAAATTCAGAGCTGAAGATGTTGCCTAGGAAGATAACGCAACCAGTGTCCAGCTCAAAGAACACAAATACACTAAAATTATGGTAATTCATTAATTCGGTGGATATAACTTAGACTTTTGGATCAATGAATGCTTAGTTCAATTTCAGCTAAAAAATATCAACACATTGATTGAACTACATCTCATTGTCGATAACATAGTTAATCATTGAGAAATTACCGTAAGAGAAATATAATTGGTGGTTAACATCACCATTTGAGACTTGTGGGCACTTGCTTTTCACTGAGCGACAGTGTGCACGCTGATACTCAAACTTAGCACCCACGCTTCAAATGGCATAGCGCTACTCAATAGGCCACCCAACTTTGTGGAACAGGTGTGGTTTGAAATTATTTACACAGATTTGTGATTTTCCTGTTGATATCTGTGCCGAATTGATGAACCTTAATTTGGTGCATATGCTCCTCGAACGGATGTCTCGATATCACCATGATTAAGTATGAAAATTGGGCCCTGTGATAGAGTATAACTGCATTATAGATACGATTTTATTTTGATAAATCACACAGTGTTATACAGTAATACTAACTGATGACGTTTCGAGCCCAAACTATTGCTCATAATCATTTCAACGCATTCACACAACTGTTTACTTCATTTATATACATGAGTAAAATTGATTAGACATTTGAATAAAAATACTTTTTCATTGCCATTTCTCAGCATCTCTCTGTTAGAAACTTGAGATGCAAACTTTGTTTTAAATATCACACAGTGATGCGCATCAATTATTGTTCATTACCATGATTAACAAAAACAAAGTTCCCCCCCCCCTGAGTGAACGTAAATCAACTTTTTAATAACGCTTTTACCTAATTAACACGTAGACACAAAAAGTGACACCTTTAAAACCAATCATGAATGTCCAACTAATGTTCACGTATCGTACTTATTTTTTTTATTATAGCTTGAAACCACACAGTATTTTTGGTACAAGTATGAAATTTTCAGCATGTGATATCGGTAGCCCAAATTTTGCAGGCCGACCATTGATATCGGGTGTGTGCCGGCAGGGGATCGAACCGGACCATGTGCATGGTTGGTGAGAGTCCTAACCGCTGTGCCACCGACGCTATTTTCGATATTCACTTCATTCAGGACCAAGGCGGCTGGAACACTTTAACTGGTCTCAAGTCAGTTAATCATAGCGTGAATATGACATTAACACAGAATCCTCAACGCTTAAACACGTTGAGAAAAACGATCGAGAACAGGAGTTGGCGGGTTATTCCCAAAGATACTTAGAGATGGTAAGCCAGGATTACCGGCTAAACTGACTATTTTACTCGAGACAGGAGAATAAGACAGGATCCTTATTTTCATTGTCACAGTTCTAAAGAGAGGAAACATTCCTCTTGTGATAATCGCAATAGATTTAAATTGACAAATGCTAACTGTCAGACCACAGGCGCTAGGAAACAACAAAACTAAGGAAACCAGACCAGTTTACTATCTGACCGAGTGTTTATCAACAATCGAATTCGGAAATTTAGGTTCGATAAGAACAGTTTTACTAATCTTCAATCACAATCATATTTTCCATTGTACTATCATTAGGATTTTGTTCTCTTTTTTGGAATAGTACTTCTAAATTTAACCATTCGAAATGATGCATGCTTTTGCAAGGTTCAGTGTTGGTTTGTCAGCCATTCAAATGTAGGAAAAATAAGAATTAATGGGAAATGAATCCATCAAGAACCAAATAGATAATACTAAGTGTAATTTACACGAATTATTCACATAAGTAAATGAATATACGCGCATCTCATGAGGTATTATCAAATACTCAAAAGAAGCCTTTGATGTCATCTAATAGTACATCGCTTAGGTAATAAGGGATGGGAATCAAAAATTTAAATTGATCAGAATTTAATAAAAAATAGTTTACCTTTAGATATTTTATTTCATCTACAATATGCGTTAATTTGTTGTAGGTAAGAAGTAAGTGTTCCAGATTACATAATCCACATATGCACGTGGGTAGCGGACCATCTAACCGATTATAGCGTAAATCCAATTGTTCCAAATTAGTAAGTTTTGTAATTTCATTTGGTATACCTGCAGCTGTTAACCAATTCTGTTGTAATAATAGCCTTCGTAAATTTGTAAGATGACTAATACTACTTGGTAATGCAGTCAACTTATTACCATAGAGAAATAAATCTTTGATAAAAGATAAATCTTTAAATATCCCATTAGGGATTTGTTGAAGATTCATATTAGAAAAATCTAGATAGTCACTGTGAGATTCCCGACACTGGGCAACTTCTTTGCTTATGTCCTAAAAGATGGATAAAAATGAATCAACTATCAGATATATCAAACCAATGACACAGATACTGTGAAAAAAATGCACAAATAATAAAGCCCAGTTTGTTGTTAGTAAACTTACATAAAATCTAAGCCTAAACACCAAGAGTCTGAACTGAACTTTGGCAGTCACCACACTTTGTAACTACAATATCCGTTTCTTGAGTTGTATTCATGGAATATATATATATATATATATACTTCCACAGAGTAACCTCTAGAAATCATTAGTTCCAAAGCGATCCTAAGAGTAACATAACACAGTCAATAAATTCCATACTTTTCAATGACTCAGAAAATAAGTGTTACAAATGTGTTGGGAGAATTTGAGATCTAATCAGCTGAGTCATAATCTAACAGTTCATATTTTCCTAACCAACATATTTTTGTGAAGAAATCCACCTTACATCTAATCTAATAGCTAGAAATCTAGCATCAAAATATTACATTTTCAGTTTAAATATTAAGGCTTTAAAATGAACTAGCAGAATCCCCCAAGATATTCAGTGGTGCTCAATGAAATAAAAATAACCTTACTAGTGATAATGTACACTGACATACGTTTCAACAAACAGATACAGACATTTGTAAAAATGAGCATGATTCAACAAAAACATAAAAAGGAGATACCACTGGGAATACTGACAAAGAAGAAAGAGAACGAATTTTATACTGAAGCAACAAACAACCCGACATTTTCGGGAGAGGAATCAGGATTTCAGCCAAAGTGACTTGGTTACCTAAGGAGATGTTTCGTCACGCGTTACTTACATCAAGTTCTCGATGTCCCCCATGTAGTTATTCTTTTCACCATACACTTCTGTTCGTTATAGTTTCTTTACATTTCTTTTTTTTATTAACTCATCTGTTCTTTTATAAAGTGCGGCAACTTGAATAGCTGCACTTTTATACAAAGTTGTACGTTGAAAATTCAATTCAATTCTCAGTCCGAAGGATTAAACCATCAATGTATCCAACTTTAAGAACCTACGTACTATTTGTGACGATTATATATATATATATATATATATATATATATATATATATGGAAAACAATGTTAGAATTCGCAAATAAGAAATGACTGCAACTATAATTCATAAAATTTACACAACTCATTTAGAAATTATCCGTAAGAAAAAGTCTTTATTTCATTCAAGTAGTGGATTTAATCAATTATGAACACAATATGCATTTAAGACTACAGAAGTTAATGTGATTAACAATATGCTTGCTTTTTATTTGTTTATTAGGAATATGCACTGAAATTGTGTTAGAAAAGTACGTTCCAAACAAATTTCCTTCCAAATTAGCACAAAACGGAAACCATAATTCCAAAAATTATAAAGTTTACTGATTTCTGATTAACTTCAGTAAGTCTTCATACATACCGTTAAGTTTCTGAACCCTGATTTCTAGCATCTTCAGAGCCCCAATAGAGTAGTTTAAATAGTCCGGACTGAATCTCCATTATGGATAAGATTTTATTTTGATAAATCACATAATGTTGTACAGTAATATTTACTGATGACGTTTCGAGCACAAACTATTGCTCATAATCATATCAAGTTGATCTGATATGATATGATTATGAGCAATAGTTTGTGCTCGAAACATCATCAGTAAATATTACTGTACAACACTGTGTGATTTATCAAAATAAAATCTTATCCCTAATGGAGTTATGCTCTACCACAGTGTCCAAGTTTTATACTTATATCAATAGTCCGGACTGAGTGTGAGTAACTTCGTAGCATTAAACGGTGATTTAATCATTAGCGTAGGAGAGCTTTGAAGAAATGGAAAGGCAGTTTGCGATATCTTCATGAATGATCTTTTATTACTTTAGAGAAATTTTACCACGCCAAGTACTGTTGCTATTTTAGAGCAGCTTGCAGAAGCTTTGCGTTTGCTTATAGTTGTGTCTTACTGTTTAGAAGTAACTATTATTCTACAGGTAAATGGGTTACTCATTTTGTAGGCTTAATAACCTTGTTGGTTAGTTGAAACTTATTGCACTGTCTTTTTTCAACTTCTAATGGAAAACTGTGAGTCTGACATCAAGAGCCAGATAGAAAGCGTTGCTAATAACTCGTCCCTTTTGAAGTTAGCAACTTATGGCTAACTATAAGAGTATGGAATTATTATATTAAGTCAAATGAATAGGGCATAAAAATTTATAACAACTTAACAATCTGAATGTTATGTTTGCAGTTAAATCGCATAGCCAAATCTAAAAATATACTCATTTATTCTGTCTGTCTGTTTTCAACATAAAACTTTGCACTGATGTGCAGCAGTTTAAGTAGCCACACTCCCTCCATGTGGCACACAAAGCAAGAGAAGAAAGTAGGAGAAATGCATGATAGAGACAGTAGACAGGGATATGAGACAAAAGGAATAGTAATAACGAGGAACAATATAGTTTCATTGGAAATCATAAGTCACAAGGAGTGTATGCATCTGCGCCAGCCATTGAGGACGATTTTGAGCCATGTGACCGATTGTCTCCAGCCGTTGGTTTTTACCGTCCTGAGGACCCCAACAACGAAGTCTACCCCTTCCTAGGCGGCTGGCTCAAACTAACTGTTGTGGATTTTATTGACTGGTGCCATGTTTTGGTTTGATTGCCGCTAGTTCTTTTTCAGCCTGACCCTATGTCAGCTAACACTGCACGTCGAGAAAGGCGATGGCTAGGCATGCGTAACAGATCTCCTTACCATCTAAGTGGATGTAGCTTCACAGCTTCGTCGATTGATTCCCCCTCCTTACCTAGCACTCGACGCCTAACCTCAATATTGCTCACCCTATTATACCACTTCACACGGGAGATAGAACGCAGGCACCTATTATCAAAGACAGCTAGTCTTTTCATGTCCTCAACTCCCAATGACCGGGTCTCACAGCCATAAAGGAGGACTTATTACGTTACGTCTTCCAACTAATAGTATTTTAAAACACTAGGTAGTGGTTCAAACAGTCTTCAGAATGAACAAGAAATGTATAGCAGTTTTGAGAAATGTATAAGAACTGATTCAAAGTATTTTTCATTCAAAAATGCTCGCCCTGTTTTCCATGGGGCACTTGTCCCTACAATCTGAATAATATGACAGTGATCACCATTCTGGGTAGTAATAAGACTATATTATTATTATTAAACTGAACTCGTTTCGTACTCTACAATGACTTCTTGAACAAATTATTCAACTCCTTGGTTAGTTTCTTAGAAAGAAATGGGTGAAGTAACTCTTCCTTCCTGAACTTCTACATCGATCAGTTTAAGCAGATCACGTGAATCGACTTTAATTAAACTTCAGCAGTCTGATCACAGATTTGAACTCTACTTTCTCTACCGAAATTTGAGCAACTAATTAGCAACATCAATCCCAATAATAAGTGCACATGTAAATGCGAATTCTTGTTGAATAACATTTTTTCACTTTTGCATACTTGATATTCAACCAACCACTAGTGTATGAGGGAAAACATAGATCCTGAACCTTACGTTACAGAAATTAAATATGTGATCTGTCTTTGAAAATTGCTTTTTATGATTTTCTTCGGTCTAACCATTTATACATGATAAATGCTGGATGTGAAAGATCCCTATTAAAAAATAGTAAGCCCACCAGAACTGGGAATAATCAACAGGCAACCAAAGTAGACAAACCTAAGCTTTCTGCTTTCCCTCAGGAATCCTCTCTTGGAAATCAGCCCCAAAAGTAGTAAACTGAATTTGTGTAGACGTTTGAAAACTAAGCTTGTGTTGATATAAGGATATAATCTTTTATTGTACTAAGTTCTCAGCCTTGTATAACAGTTAGAGGATTGAATAAATAAGTTAAAATGTAAGGTTAATGGAACAGCTGCCTTAATCACAAGTCAGCATTTACCGTTTGGTGAAACATTGACTGCCTTATAGATAGAGCAGAAGAAATTACTTCTAGCTCAAAATGTTCAGAGACTACAGAGATTACCGGTGATTGTTGACGAGTTAATTGGCATCCTACCTTTCATGCATAGAATCAATTAGACTATATTGTTAATTTCCTCAAAAATAAAATTATCAGTAACATTGGGAATTAGTATGAATGGGATGTGTATCCCATAATGTCGGTCATTTTACTTAACATGGCGTAACAGACATGTTGGCCGTCAGTTACATCTTTTGTGTAGCTAGCAAAAGTACTGTGCCAAACATAATCATCGAGACGCAACTTAGTCAATTTCCAATCCAATACATATAACTATGGTACCACAGAATTGATAATTGAATGTAAAACTCCCTATCAAACAAAAGTTGCGGACTAACTCATAGTACAGAGGCACCTTGCTTTATTCAGCTCAGGTGATCTACTCTATCCTATCTTTGGTTTTCTAAGTAGAAAATTACTGTCATGGAAGTGTCTAAAAGGTATTTAATAACATTTTAAGCCGTTTAAAGCATGGTTTCCGCAAAACAAACATCGCTTGAACAGAGAAGTAGAACTTAAGCATTATAATCGTATGCAGTTGAATATTGGTTCCATTTATTAGATATATCACACGGTGAAGCAGAATTTTGTTACTGCAATTTATTCTTCACACTGATTAAAGTAACTTCACAACTTCAAAGTATAGCTTTTAAGAGCATTATTTTCATTTTTATCCATCAGAAACACTAATATAGTTTCCAGGTATCTGGAATAAGTATTTTTTCATCTTTACTGTAAGTAGAAGTTAATTCGTGGATGGTGACTTGCAGTGGAATCCAGGATGCGCACTTCGTCCTATTTGAGACTCGTCATCTGATGTAGCTGCATTCCGCAGTGAGTGATGATTTTCCCACCGAGGTTTGAACCCAGTTCCCATAGTTTTAAACACCAAAACGCTATCCACTAGACCACCTGTGCCACGAGAGCCACCTCTTGTGCAACAGGAAAATCTAAAATTCAATTTACTGAAAGTACTTGGTGTTCAATCAATAAATGAGGTTTTCCCTATCAATCCCTAACGCTATTAGCATTAAATAGCGAAACGTCAGTAAAAGTGTCGTTTTGTTTTTCATTCATTGGGAAATACAAAAACCTTTATTATGATGAATTCCTATTCAAATTTACTAAAGTTTGTCTTCAGGACCATCATTTCCTTGTATTCCCTTGTGTGATGTATTATTACACGGATACATAGTTTTGAGTTTTTTTCTAGATCCTGAGCAAAGAGGACAACTGCTTGAAACTCCCCATATATGACGTAATTGAAATGGTTTCTAGAATTCTATCTAGAACTTACCGCCAGTTACGGACCACTTCACAGTAAGGTATGATTTTTCGACTCACCCTTCTCTAACCCCCTTCCCAAGGCGGAAACATTGCATAAATGACTTGTTCAATGTCCGAATAAAACACCTCACGGTTGCATCCCTATTGGCCAGTAATATAAATTCGCCCTAAGACCCTAAAACAACTTACGCTATGTTGGTAACTGCTTTTAATCTAACTGTTATCTAAACTGCCTTTCTGGTAAGGTAGAACATGCGAATGTAACTGGCTGGGTCATGGTGATATTCAGGTCCAACCAGCACATCAAGATGGTAACTCATCAAAGTTGTGTGAATTATCAAACATGAGTTGATAACAACTTTGGGTGACGGCAGTGATGTCCAAGAACAGCAAAGTGAATAAAAAACCTCAAACGAATGACCAGGTGCATTGGAAGTAGTGTTTCACTTATAACGTTAAATAGTTCTATTTTACTTTTCTTCTCTCTGTGTTCTTATATTTAACATACTTTTTCATTTTTGAAATTAAAATATTAAAAAATAACGCACTGATAGTCAGCTTTATCAACCCTCGAAAGAATTATGACCTCCTACAAACACAAATTAACTAGACAAATGTAATTTCTTTAATCAAACGTCTAAATGGAGCTTGAGAACAGATAAGAAACTAAAATTATGACAGTTTTGTAACAAGTCATGAGTGTAGTTATAATTACAGAAGTCTACAGCCTTTGCATAGAACACAGTAGAAGATTCCCAGTCAATTTAGAATGCGTATTAGTTTAATGAAATCTAGGATTAAGCAAACAAAGATACATGGATGTTGACTGGTGGTCTATGTAGTGAGACAAAATCTACTTTTCTTGACTGGGCCCTCTAGGTACGGCAGACAAAACATCATACATTCATAGGTCGGAAATTACTAGGTTATTGAGATTTTCTTTTTTTCTTGATTATATATGTATATGTATACGAGACAGTAATTAGTAATTATATCTTGCCAAAGCACCTTCAACCTTTTTCACTGTATATTGGTTATAATGTTTCAGCACTAACTGACAAGATATATGGTGAATTTTAATTACATTAAAAGCCAATGCATTAGCCTACCATCACTCAGTATGGATTGAAGATATTCCATAGATGATTCCGTTTGCCCAGAAAACTATCAGCGTCCTATCACCCTCAATTGAAGGTGAAATATTACTAGTGACGAGGTGACTATAGTTGAAAGCTGAGAACCTCACAGAACGACTTATCATCAATGACAGCTGCGAAGAAACGAAAAAACGTAATCCCATTTTCATTTAGTCATTTGTTCCCCTTCCTTTCAAAATTGCAAATATCACTTTTATCTTCCTAGACAACAATAATGACCGAACATACTGTTCAATAAATCTTTTGTACATCTCACGTCTACTTATTCAAAGCATACGGACCTGTTAGCGCTCCAAAAGCGACAACTGTAGGTGATATTATAGACAGACTGAAGTTATTAAGCATCCTATTTATTTTACACATATACCTATTGATTTTAATTGAAAGTGGCTACAGGATATATGTAAAAGCAGACTGAAAAGACCAGATGATTATGGTTCAACCAAGACTTGACATTGATATCAAACCAAAAGCAAATCGTGTCTCATTATTATAAGCCTTATACAACCATCACATATAATCGAACAATATCTCAAAAAATAACCTAAAAAACTAGATCGTAGTTGTCCAAAATATATTAGCTGATTAATCTCAAATAAGTGTGCACGCTATCAAATCCACAAGTACCAGCCATGTACCAATACTATATAACAGGTGCAGAGGCGATTGCAGACCTTCAACCCTGGTTTCCAAAGGAAAACATCTCAGTTGCTGTAAATTTATATGTCAACACATACATAACAGTATATCACCCGAAAATATTAGGATCATATTATAGAACTATGTATCGCATATTTACATCTGTAGATCTCCATGACATGCACACCACATTCTTTCCAATCAACTCATCAGCTTCTACATTTATATGATCATGGTGACTAAAGGACTATTATTAATAACAACACCAATGTTTTAAATTATAGTGAATCAGAATTATAGGCATCTTTAGTCAATTAAAATGCACACCATGGTAAACCGAGATAACAAAAACCATATACAAGGCTAAGAATTTCCAGACCTCAAGAAGTAAATATGATACATGGGCTTATGCGCAGATATTACGCTGCCTTAAATAGAGGTATACACAAAGGCACCCAGATCTAATACAGCAAAAATCATATGCAAACGGAAACGCAAGCAAGATAAGGTAATTGACATTGACATGAGGAATAGTGTAAACCAGCTTGAAATGACAATTTTAATGCGAACAATCCAAAAAAACCATAATAGCTTTTCCAGCAGTACGGAAGTGAATGTGTGCCAAGGAGTATCATTATTAATAAACTATTGCAAGGGTAGAAGCTGGCATACTGACGCGCTGCTGATGCTGATTAAGTTATTGACGGATAAGTGTCAGACTGAAAACAACACCAAAAGGATTGGTTGAAAACTGAAATGCTGACGAGACTTACCGGAGGTTTCGTTTTTTTCATATTGTGCTTCGAAACAACCTTGAATAACTTTCCATCATGCGGCTGCACAAACACAGCTTTTTTACTGAAGTCGGAACCACGTCTCCAATTGCCCAGACGGGTGCCGTGTTTCGAATCCTTCACAACAGATTTTGGGTTTATTTCGAGCACTCTCTTGCCATGAGAGGGTTCCTCAATAGGGTAGTAGGCATCACTATCTATGTCATTGGAAACAGAAGGATAAGGAGTAGGTTCCGTGGAAACGTCCTCATCGGAATTGTTACTGTCTAAAATTTTTGAAACCCCAATGCATATGGAATCCACATAATGATCACCAGATGTTTCGTGATTACTTGTCATTACAGATTATGTAAGCCAGTTCCAGTAAGAGCATTAAGCATATGTGAACGAATTCTGATGATTGAATGGAATCCGCGGTGAGAAGAAAAAAATTAACGCCTTATGAGAGATTTAAGAAACATCCTAAAAGCCAGCAATGACCTTAAACACCCACAGCCTTTAAAATGTTCCGAACGACTTATCAATTATCAATGGCTATGGCATACAATAAGGAGGCATCTAGCCATTAAGTCTGGTGTATAGATCAGGATTGTTTCAAGATAACATGACCCTAAAAATATGTCTTATAATTTCATTATATTTACTGAGTGTATGAGTGGCGAATTTTCGAGGGAGTCTAAATTAGTATTTGCAGTATTTCTCCGAACTTCTGGTAAAAAATAGTCTGTTTAGGAAGCATCACTGCCTAAGCCTACAATCTTTCTCTCACCACCTGAAAATTAGTGAGTTCGCAACGTATCAAAATAATCTGGAAATTAAATCCCTCTCTAAGCTTATGTTTTAATGTGATTAGTCCTTACTATTACTTCATTGACTGAATCCATAAAACGTAGGTTACAGTTCCCACAAATAACTGTTACTGGGTGAATGGAGTTGTTGCAAAGACAGCGAGTAATTTACTTTCAAACTCGGTTGGTGAAATTCAGATTTATGCAGTCTCAATTTATGACAAATTTTCATATTTTGCAGCCATCTAATATATCTGCTTTACCTTTGAAGTGCAAGCTCGAATATTAGCCCCCAATATATCTTTGGTAAAATTTTCGTGCACAGAGAATAGGTTTTTGAACAGGTTGTCCCCTCACAATCAGCTAAAATCTTGATAAGATGATTCCTACAAATATAAAGAAACTTACGTAAGTGTAATGTTATTCATTTCAGATTCAGATTTATTGGTTGAGGATAGAAGGCTTGGAGCCTATTTTAATCCTTTTCTAGTAAATTTCTGTGGTTGTCCAAACTCTTCTTGAACGAATCAGCTGAGGTTGCAGACACCACTTCTTCTGGGAGTCGGTTCCAAGAGTTTATGACTCGGTGTGAGAACCAGTACTCAACAGCAATATGATTTCTTCTTGGCTTTTGAACTCTCCTGCTATGTCCTCTGAGGTGTTCTGGCCTGGTGGGAAGGAAAAGAGAGAAAAGGTCAGGTCCGTAGTCATTATTTAAAATTTTAAACATTGTGATTAAATCTCCTCTCTGCCTACGGTATGGCAGTGAGAAGAGATTTAAACTGTCTAGTCTTTCCTCATATGATAAATTAGTCATTCCGAGAACCATACGTGTTGCCTTCCTTTGAACCCTTTCTAGAGTGTGTGAGTCCCCTTTTAGACAAGGGCTGGTGGCCTGGATGCAGTTTTCCAGTCTTGACCTCACCAGAGATGTATATAAGGAGGTGAACATATCTCTGGTGATTCTAGTGAAGGCTCTGCGAATTGCCCATAATGACCTGAAACTACGTGCAGCCACTGCGCGACAGTGTGCTGTAGTTTTTAAGTCGTGGCTAACTGTGACACCTAAGTCCAAGTAAGTCTGAACTGATGGAAGTGTAATTCCCTCTAGTTCATAAGAGCTCGTGCTTGCTTGTCCAGTGCGCTTGGTTGCACATTTTGCCACCTTTATCGGGAGCATCCATTCTATGGACCACTCTGACAATTTGTTTAGGTCCTCTTGCAACGTGGACGTGTCACTGTTACCCTTCAGCTCTCCAAATTTCTAAGTCATCTGCGTATAGGACCATAGGAGAGTCGGTGAGCAGAGATAACTCATTGATATACAAAATAAATAGGAGAGGTCCGAGTAACGTGCCTTGTGGCACTCCGCTACGTACTGCTGTCCAAGAGGAGAGTTTCGAGTTAATCCTAACCCTCTGCCTCCTATCTATAAGGAATTCCTTGAGCCAGTTTAGTAATCTGCCTTTGACACCAAGACTTTCCAACTTCATGAGTAGTCTTCTGTGAGGTACTTTATCAAAGACTTTGCTGAAGTCTATGAAGACAACGTCAAAGGGTCTTCTGTTGTCCCTGGATTTGACCCAGCTTTCTCTTGCAGTGAGGAGATTTGACAGGCATGAGAGGTTCCGTCGTAAACCATGCTGTGCTCTTGATAATAAGCTTTCATTTTCTAGATATGCCATTATGCTTTTCTTGATGATTCTCTCCAGTGTCTTGATTAAAGTGCTGGTGAGACTGATAGGCCTGTAATTTGAAGGGCTTTGTCTTGATCCTCCTTTTTGGATGAGGGTTACTATGGCGTCTTTCCAGCCACGCCCTAACACTCCATTTTGGAGAGAAAGCTTGAAGATCGTAGTCAAAGCGCCGATTATGTGGGCTGATAGCTCCTTGAGAAGCCTTGGATGAAGGTTATCGGGACCCATGGATTTCCCTGCATCTAGTTTCCTTAGGCAGTTGAGCACGATGCCTTGGTCGATGTCAACGGAATCTATCCCATGTTCTTCTGGTGCAGCCAGAGCTGATCCTGTAGGCAGTGACGACTCCTGTGTAAAGACTTGGGAGAAGTAGTTTTCCATTGCTTCTGCTTTTTCTTGATATTCGATTGTGTCATTGTCAATAGTCAGGTTTGGACACCATTGGATGTTTTATTCCTGAAGTTCATGTACGAGAAATTTTTCTTAGGTTGTGCCTTTGCATTTTGAGCCAGGTGTGCTTCGAATTTCATCCTTGATTGGCGGATTTCTGCAATAGCTTCATTTCTAGCAGTGTTATATAATTGCCTGGTCTCAGAAGTCTCAGGTGTGGCAAACAATTCCCAACATTTGCGTTTACGTCTGAGTAACTTACGAATCTCTCGGTTTATCCAAGGAGGGCAATGTTTCCGACCCTTTGGGACAGACCAAGGGATGAAAGGTACAGTTACTTGGGCGTAAAGTTGTTTAAATTGGTTCCATGCGGCTTCTACTTGAGACTCTGGGTTGATGTACCAGATTACTGAGTTGGCTGCTGAGACGATTGCATTTATATCAGCTTTCCAAACGTTTGGTCGAGATGGAGTTTTTATTTATTTTATTTTTATTTTTATTTACAGCTTGATTCCACACCGTATTTTCAGTACAAGTGTGGAATTTTCAGCATGGATATCGGTAGCCCAAATTCAGGCCGACCATAGATATCGGGTGTGCGCCGGCAGGGGATCGAACCCCGGACCATGTGCATGGTCGGCGAGAGTCCTAACCACTGTGCCACCGACGCCCTTGCTGCCGTTACTGTGAACTTGAAAGTAAGCACAGCATGGTCGCTTCTTCCTAAAGGAGCAAGATGTTGTATGAGATCCACATCCTCATCGTGGGAGAACACTAGGTCCAGAGTTGAGGAGGAGTGCTGTGAGTCATAGCGCGTGGGCTTAATGACATATTGGACTAGAGCTAACGATATGCTAGATTCCAGCAGTTTATAATCAAAGGAGTTGACTGAAGATAGAGTTGTTAGTCTCGTCCAGTCAACTAATGGGTCGTTGAAATCGCCAACTACGAGACTTCAACATTTCGAGGTCCAGGAGCCTAGCTTCTCCATCAGGGAGTCATCTGCACTGCAGTCAGGACTGCGGTACATAGCAATGAGGTCAATGTGTTGGCCTATGCATTTAAGTCTGCAGAGCAGAAGTTCGCACGACCCAATTTCGTTAGCGAGTTCTTCGATACTACGCACGGTTAAGCATTTCTTGAGGTAGATGACTACGCCACCTCCTTTGCGGTTTAGTTGGTCCACCCTATGCACTTCGAAGTTTGGCAGGTTAACTTCGTTGTCAGTGACATCGGGTGTCAGCCATGTCTCTGTGATAATAATTACATCCGGGTTTCCGGAGTCCATCATGTTAACCAGCTCAGTCCGTTTATTTAACAGGCTGCTGGCGTTTGTGTAGGAAACTGACAATTCAGTTTGGTGCTTTCCCGGCCCACCCACAGAGGTTTCGGTATCATTAAATTGCGAACCTGGACAACCAGAAAACCCTTAATCTTAAGGTTCTTTTCGCCGTTTCGGCGTCGTTCGCTTAACTCTAGGGCCGCAGACTGTCTTTTGACACGGTCTGCTAGGCTTAAGTCGGCGCGGACATATATGCCTGATCCTTTAAGAATATGAGAGTTGCTAAGAATAGCATCCCTCTCTTCTTTAGAGTTTAGCAGGACTTTGAGGAGCCGTACAGGCTGACTTACTCTAGGGTCAGGCTTTTGGCCTATTCTATATACGCTATTTATAATAATGCCTGATACTGTTTGTGGCAGTAGCTTGTCTAATAGGGGCTTAACCAAGTTAAGGTCATGCTCAGATCTAGTCTTGTGGTTGGGGGCCAGTGACTCTTCCACTTTGTGGAGAATGAGCGACCTGCCAGAGAGATCAGGTTTTCTTGCCGTGGCTTTCTTGCTCTGCGGCGTAAATGTCTCTCTGTCCTTCGTGGGCAGTGTGGCCAATGTATTGTCCTTATCTCGCTTTTTGCGAGAGACTACTGTACGCCATTCATTGGCGTTCTCCTCGCTAATCGTAATGGGATTTAGCTGCCTGCTACTCACCGGTGTGGATGAGGCTTGATCCACTAGTCCCTGGGCGACTTGAACTGCAGGTTTTCGACCCCTGGTACGCCTCTTCTCTGTGGTAGTCTTTCCATTACTGTCACTGGAGGGCTTATCCAGTGTCGTGGGGGCAGCCTGGGTATCTGGAATGTGGTGAGTGCTCTTCTGTGCTGAAGGGCACTCACTTATTGACAGAGACGCATCGGGGACATGAGCTTTTTTTGTCGGTGACACTAGTCACGTCATCATTTGTTGATTCAGTTGGTATCTATGTAGCCGAATAATCTCCACGATTTGTTTTGAATGACCAAGTAGCTTACAAAAATAGAAAAGCACTTTCTAATATTCTATTCTTGATTGTGTCAACAGATATGTTACCCTAATTCAAACAATGGTCTTATGTCGTACTATGTTGTGCTTTCCAAATGTAAATGCCCCATCCATTCGATGATGTTCCCTTCCGTGTCTGATGAAGACCTAGCATGCACTGTTTGCTGCTAACTAACTAGATTTTATTCGGATGTTCTGTCTGTAGATAGGTCTGGGGATTACTTCTTCCTGTTCCGCTAGTAGTGCCAAATGTATTTATGCTTTCGAAGGTTCACGTTTTTAATCTACTCTCATCATTAATCGTTAGTCAGAGCATTATTATGCTTGCGGAACATCATAGGTACTTGTTCCTGGTATGCACGCAGTGTACTTCAGCTTGATAATTTATGGACACCGCATGGTATGTTTGAAAAAACCTGGATTAAAAGTTTTCGGACTAATTCTCTATCTGCTATAGTTTTTCCTCTCATCTTCATACTGCATGCAACCCACTTGCGACATATTTTCGCCCCATTTTGTCAGTGTTATTTGTTCGAACATGCACATTGAGTGATTTGGTGACAAATTAAATTATGTAGTTCGATACTGACATCAATAGGTACTGATTACTGGTTGCGATTTCTCCTTTGAACTAAAACTATGCAAGTTTCAGAAGTAGAACAGCTATTTCTGTCGACAGTTATGACATCTAATAGGGTCTGAGATATATTTCGTTTGTTATAAAACTCACCCTACTCACTTGATAACAGCCGTCATGGTTTTCAGCTGTAAGATTCAGCTCGCAGAGTGGCTAAAGGAGGTGTTTTTCAATTGGTACAAGGTTTGGAAATGGCGTCATTGGAGAATTCAGTGTTGGGACTTCTAAAACCGAAACTTAGAGTGCAAGAATCTGAAGAGGCAATATATTCTCATTAAACAATTGCACTACAGAGACTAACGCAGTAAAAATGATCACTCAAACTCTCCAGTAGGGCTAAAGGAATAAACAGTTACCTGTCGGTTACAGTGGAACTGGCTACTCGCTTCACAGGCCAACTGCTAACGCCCACACTCCATCAGTTTTCATTCATAAAATCGCAGCGGCACAAATAACCATCATTTAATTATGCTATAATTCGTAGCAAGCGATTAGTCCGGATTTTAGGCGGAGCGTATATCATAAGGAAAATTCTGAGTAACATCAGTAGGCAGCGAAATGTACTAACCATACAATCGAAACAAGGAGTCAATCTGGTATCTTTTTAGTGTTGGACATACTAATCATTCAGTAAATAACCACTGATGAAGCATTCGAGGGTGAAAATTTACACATGAGTTTCAATGAGATCAGAAACCGAGATCGAAATGCCCACTGTAGACCGTGAAACGACATTGGCTATTCAATTTCTCAACTTATTTGTGCCAAATATTTAACAATGCCGCTACGTTTGTCTATCCACCTTTCTTAAAAATAGTTCGAAGCAGTTTTTCTGTTGAAAAGAACACTGAGACTGCATGTCGAACTACAGTAGTTTACTTTCAAGCCGCAACTATCGAAAGCTACCTGGAGAAGAGAGAGTTGACCATAGTTTGGCCACTCATGTAACCTACGGTGGTCTTAACCTCTCTGGAGTTGTTGAGGTTTTGACTTCAAATTTCGTTAATTTGGCAGCTTACGAATTATAGAATAGTGTTTATTGCTCTAGCAAGCGAAACAGCCCCTGTTCGTCCCCAACATGCTTTTCCTGGGTCTGAAACAAAGCGATATATTCTGAAGCTTCCATTGGGAACCATTCGGAATGTTGAACAAAAGTCTTATCAGGGAAATGTGTCACTTCATGTTGGATGCAAAGATCTGCGAGAGATAGTGTTCAACCTAGCGGTAATTTCCACATTCTCTTATAAACATATTCAGGACTATGGACGAGCAACTGGATTTTGTGAAAATCTGAAAGCATATGCATTTCCCGCTACTTCTAAAAAACCTCTGTTCGCATACTTATATGGTGCAAAGTGTTTAGAGAATAACGTTTTCGCAGTAGACGGTTGGGATGTGTATAATCCAGAAGAGGAATACCATCGTCAGAATATCTTTACTAATGGATGGAGGATTACAAAAGTAAGGTTTATATAATTTAGATTTCCGTGCAAGACTCTATGTTGAGATCGTCGTCCACTGTAGTTTTGACACAGTCTCATCGTTAACTCCCAAACTGACACTATTGCACATTCCTACATATTTTGTAATGTTAGTTCCATATATTCTCATTTGTTTGGTTTTGTCATCATTGTGTATGCAAATTCTAGTAACTTTATTCACTTTACTAGTATTTTCTTGTAATTCTACAGTTTGGAGACTATTTACTCTTTCATTTCGTGACAGTGTGATTAGACTATGTAGTCGAGTAAACGAAAAAGTCTGCCGATGTGTTCAAAGTAACGACTCCTCAAGAGTCGTTTGTGGGAGTTACTACCCACCCGCACATTAGCCTCTCATTTTGAACAAAATAAAGGCGTCAACAACGAAAAACTTAAATATACCAATAAATCTCGATTTTCTTTGTCTTTGATTTATGTATAAACATAAGGTTTTTCACTACATATTTTTGACTATTTCAAAAGCCAGCTAAACTTTCGCAACTCCGTCTCACCTGCTGAAACCTAAAGATCCACTGCACAAAGGATAATGTAGTGTAATTTACAAATTACACTGTTTTGGTTGGACAGTTACTGTTTCTTTATTGAAGCCATTAACTACTACGAGACAAATATGGTCACTAGGTCGGTTGGGAAAGTTGTGGAGTCTTTTAACAGCCAGTTTTACAAAATCCAGAAGTAACCTTAGAAGTCAATTAGTAATACAAAATGATAACCAACAAATGTCTAGACGTCCAGTTCACATGAACTATTAAGTATCAAAGTCAAGAACGGTAATTCTGGAATATTGATTATGAGTAATGCAATAAATAAAGTGGTAATGAAAATAGATTAAAGTCCTAAAATCTAACGTAAATCGAATGACTCAAAGGTAGCGAAAAAAAGAAGTTCTCAGCCCCAGGTCATCTGATATGTTTTGGAGCACAGTAATCATTGAAACGTTAAAAAAAAGATGAACAAGTTCTTTTATATCAAATCATTATAAACAGGTAATCCGGGAATTCCTTGAGTATGAGCAATATACAATGCGGTTGTTTATACATTGGACTACACCCTTCAAAGCAACGCAGCCTACTAGCCAGAGTGAAGTAGACAACGACAGCTAAGTTGACAATTAGTCATATAGTTCTGTGATGGGAAATTAACCAAGCTGTTTAGAGAAAACTGCCCGGAAAAGTGAAATAACTGCTTGCCATGGGTCCATTGTGAATATGTACTGGAGATGACTGAAATGTTAATGAGAGCCCTGACTTAGGTTCTTTTGGGTCACAGAAGGCTTTTCCAGAAAGCCTTACTACATTTTGACGACTAATTCGGTAATTACAGATTACTACTTTGATCCTTACTTCTATCAGCTAAAATTATGGTCTAAAGATAATTTGCCTCTCAGAATTATACAGTAGGGAAAGTAGCTACTTATTAACCATAATATTTCCAAATTTAGTTATCATATCGATTTCCATGTATAAAACTGGACGGTAAAACCCAATGTTAAGTGCCTCAGTGTTCATTTATAATTGGAAGTTAGGTTTTCAGCATGTTCTTGAACTTAATCCGACTTTTTTGATTTTAAATTTTTCAAATAAATGTAATTGATTATGAATGCTACTACGGTACATGTGCTTATTATTTAAACTCTCTACTAGTTTAGGCATTCTAACTTCACCTACTGCAAATTTGTTATGCTTGACGTATTCGCTGCAGAAAAGATTTACACGATCATATGATTGCTGATTACATTGTATCTGAGTTACATGTTGTAGCCGCAATTCAGTTTTCGGTAACAACCGGTTGGGAGAGATGTAGGTAGGCAGTATGACCTTTAAAAAGGCCTTTGAGGTGTGAGAAGTCGGTATTCATTTATTAAATTATGTTTTTGTGTTTTAATTTTGAGCCTAATTACTGTAAGATTGGTTAATGTTTGTCATTTGGTTTATAGATTAACACGGACTACAGGTTGTGTGATACGTATCCAGCTCTTCTTGCCGTCCCCTGGGAAGTAACAGATGAATTGCTAGTAGCATGTGCACCGCATCGCAGTCGTGGTCGTATACCAGTTTTAAGTTGGTTACATCCTGAAAGCAAAGCAAGCCTAACTAGAGCAAGTCAACCTCTTGTAGGTGTCCAAGGTCGCCGCAGTTCTGATGATAAAGAACTAGTTCGTCAACTTAGAATAGCTAATGCAAATGCCAATCATCTTCTTATCTTCGACGCCCGTCCTCAGGTAAAGTATATATTTGTCATTCCACTGAGTTCATAGATTAAATATTTATAGCAAGCAACAACTGTGAGAAGAGCACTATTTAAGAAATCTTTAAATACTGCTTTTCTCACAGTTGTTGCATTTACGGAATATTCATAATTTAACGTCAGCTACAGAAATTTCTTACAACTTTCCTTTTGAGTAGTTAAAAATTGAGAGCACGATTGGAATCGGCATAGTTAAAAGCTCATACAAATTTCTCATTATACATTTCGAAATTAAATAAGCTATCCTTGTAATCAGCAACAATATGTTTACACAAACACTTTTGATAAAAATATTGCGCTCGAATGTCACCTGCCTTTATCTTACCAAAGTTTATGCTTTACGCGAGCCCGACTACGCATTTCCGTTGAATTCAATATCTTACTATTAGGAAGTAATCAAACTGTTTGATGTGGATGAATAAACTGTAGTTAATTGTATAGTGATGTCTGTGACAAATGTGATAAGTGTGAATTAAGAGTCAGCCACATGGCTTTTAAGTAAGGATGATAATATATACATTGTAACGTTGCCGTTTAGACCAAACTGCTATTTTTGTCATCTAGTACAGAGATCTACTCCATATATACACTTTCTCGGTGGGGAATTCAGTGACTAAAACAAACTATCAGTTAACGGAGAGCAGTTACTGTCATATCGCTTGCATAAGCAATATGATGAAGTAGTAGAGTTTTGTAAAAGTATTGCTTTATTTCATGCATTTCAAGCTATGATACGTATGTGATTATCGTAGTTTTCGTTACTAAGTTATCTATGGAGCGCTTAACACAACCTTCTGGATTTCGGTTTAGAATTCATCACTTCAAAGTAGCATTCACGTAGTTCGGTTTCATATCTAAAAACAGACAAAACACCTTATATGCATCTTCCTCAGAACTTCATATGGAAAATGAGGCGAAATGAAACTATCATGACCTAAAATACCATGTATATATCTAATTTCTAACTTCCTTTCGTCTAGTCAAAGGATATTGTGATGACTAGTTGTTTTAGTTAGTTTGAAAGTCGGCGGAGAAATATTTCGCTAATGTGTTTGGGGATGAACTAAGGAAAGGAAGTTTCAATCAACCGCACAGTGGTACTCGAAAAAGCAAGACTGGTAAGGAGAGTTTGATAATAATGTTATCGGTTTGTATTCGAATTACATTGCGCTGCATTTTATCTCCCTTCTCTTAACTATCCAATGATGTGCTCTTTGTTTTTTCGAGAGCCGCTATGCCGATTAAACATGAATTTCCATCACTTCATGGAGCTAGCATATGCTAATGGTTCTAGCGATGTTCGACTTTATTATCTCATAGTTTGTAATAGTTATCTAGAATAAGAACATACTACTAAATGGGCTCAAAAATATGTAATTGTAGTGCTTGCCCAAGTACACATATCGAATTTGTTATTTCAGTTAGAAACATTATATTGTTGTTCTAGGTTAATGCGATAGCAAATATTGGTGTCGGTGGAGGTATCGAGAATCCATCCTATTATGAAAATGTGCAATACATGTTCCTCAATATACAGAATATACATGCTATGCGTGCTGCATTAACCAAAGTTTTTGAAGCATGCTTCCCTCTACCAGATGATACACGATGGTTGAAACAATTAGCAGATTCTAAATGGCTTTATCACATCAAACAAATTATTTTTGCTGCAACCAGTGTAGCCGACAAGGTGAGTTATTTACTTCATTTTTAACGTGACTAATAATTCAGTATCATAAGGTACATTATCCATTCAAAGTTTTTGCTCTTACAAAAAAGAAATAAAGTTGACGAGTGACAAGTCATTTTCGCTGACATTAATCGGTGTCTCTAACAAAAAATTACGCTGATATAATTTCTTAATGTCGTCTAGGGTTTTTGTGATTGACAATTTCATTATATTGGTCACCTAGTCATGCATAAGAACTTTACCAACGAAAAAAGTGAAAGATATAAAACATGTTTTAATAAGGCTTTCTGAGGTGTCTAGAACATTTTTGCTAAGTACAGCATAGCAGAATATTCTCAAAGCATAGTTCGTTATACATGCAAAATGCATATGTAAAGTCTTCACACAAGATCAAGCGTATTTCTCAGCGGTGATTCAGCTAAGCACTTGACTCTGTGGAACTGTGGCTCATTGGCCTAGGCCTTCGACCTCCAACTCCGTTTCACCTACCGAGGTTTGAAAAACCAGGTAGTACCACATTAACATTTATGCAGCAGGCGTGACTCATTGTTAACTGCATGCAATTGCAAGTGGTTGGTGAGTGATATTCATCGACTAGACTGTTAACTGATGGACAATGGTCACAAAACTAATTGCATCTACTAAGATATTATTTTGAATCACTCATGATAGATAGTAGGGTGGGTTTGGCGTAATTACTGTAGTGGTTGAACATTCATTTATTATCACATCCATCAAACAGTGAGTTTATTTTTTATGTCACCTTATGAAAGGAAAAGTGCTAAGTTCTCTCTGTATTTATTGGAAATATGTAATAATAAACAGAAGTAATACTTAGATGAGCACTTCACCTAACAATTTGATGTGGTTCTTCAACCAGTCAAACTTCAAATTTATTAACAGTAATGTAAGATTCAATAAAGAAAGAAAGACCGGATTCGCAGTATAAAACATCATTCTCTTTCCCAGGTTCTCATCATCTGCAAACTACCCGAAATTACATTGGTTATAAATTGATGACAATAACATAATTCACTGTTTGAATAGTAGTAAGGAAAACACAAAATGAACGCATCCGAAATATAGGCTTTACAATTTTGGTTTAAGTTACTGTCAATTTACATGCTTTCAAAATAGAAAAGGAGGAGAAAAATACAGAAAACAGGAAAATCTAATAAACGGTGTTAGCATTTAAGTTTACATAACAACTCACTGAAAATTTGCTCAGTGAGTTGAAATCACTAATATGGATGACTAACCAATGTAATCAAAATGTAGTTACCAGTTACCAAGGGAGTGAGAGATTAATCACACTCTCTTTCTGAATGCATTAGTTTGGTTTCCAACCAAAGTTGCGTTTGATTGCAATTGCTTCAGCAAATCGTAGTAAATTTGCTCTCCCTTGTATGTTTAATATTTTGAAGGATTTGGAAATCTCGACGAAATGATCAGTATCCACGTGTCTGGTAATTTCATTTTATGAATATCTGTTTCTTTTTAAACATAAGTTTCTTGGGATATGCTCTGAAAATCATATAGAAGCCCTTCTTTCTGTCCTTCCTATGTACTTGCTCCCGCAAGTGCACGTAAATTTATAAACAGTTAGAGGTGACATCAATAGAGTACTTATCCAGTTTGGATAGGCTAATAGAGCATGTAGTGGTGTATGGCGTTACGAGCTTAGCTGCAGGGAAGCATCTTTTTATTGTTCCTTTCATTCTCTTGAATGGAACCTAATGTATGAAATTAGTGTAAGATTCATTATTACGTGAAAAAATATGACCTCACGAAGTTTAGTTCTGTTCAACTCTAAGCATTTTTTTCTCTCAGAAGTTTATTCCTGTTATCCAAGCCTCACATGTCTCATTTACATATCAGATAGTAGGGAATCCAACAGTTATAATTAAGGGTCATGCATTACTACGGGAAAACCAATATGTTTAACCGTCTGTCAATTTAGAAGCTGTCGATTGACAACTAATTCAGTCGAAAGCCAATATAACTGTATGACTTATTTATTCTTTTGAAATTTCAGATTGAAAACCATAAGACCTCGGTGCTGATTCACTGTTCAGATGGCTGGGATCGAACAGCTCAGGTTACCTCTTTGGCGATGTTGATGCTCGATCCATACTACCGCACAATACGTGGGTTTGAAGTTTTAATTGAGAAAGAATGGTGTTCATTTGGCCATAAATTTGCACAGCGTACTGGCGGACCTGCGGATGGTGGAATCTATTTGCCTCCTAACATACCTACTCCTGTTACTAATGATTCTACTCCCACACGACCATCCAATCCTGAAGAGCGCTCTCCAGTGTTCCTACAATTTATTGACTGTGTATGGCAAACAATGCAGCAGTTCCCTCATTCATTTGAGTTTAATGAACGATTCCTCATAACTATAATGGATGAGCTGTATGCTGCACGATTTGGGACGTTTCTCTTTAACTCTGAAATGCAAGGTCGAGATCATGGTGTACGTGAAAGAACCATATCTTTGTGGGCATATATCAACTCTGACATACCGTCATATCAAAATCCATTATACACTCCCGCTGAAATCAGTGGGCATCGTGTAATTTTCCCGCAACACGCTTTAGCTCAACTTCAATTTTGGACAAGTTATTACATACGATGGCATCCACTAATGCGTTTACAAGAGCCTATAGCGCGTCGAGAAAGAGACTTGATAATGATAATGAAACGTTTCAGAGAACTTACAGCTGCTACACAGCGCGAAAGCATTAAACCCAATCTAAATACTGCCAAATCTGATAACCTTACGCTCGGCAGAACACGTTCAACTAGTTCAAAATTGTAATTTTGCATACATTGAAGTTATGTACGGATTCATGAACAAATACGCTTAATGCTAAGCCGAACAAAAAAAAATAATTTAGACAAAAACTGCTTTTAATTTGTATAATTTCAATAATTTCAAAATGATTTTTTATTCGAATAATAAAAATTTATCTAAATCACTTTTTAGTGTTGTTAGGCACTTGATCATCCCAAAAAAATGTGTTACACCGTGCCGCTGGATTGTCCGGAGCACCCTGAGGTCGTGCACACACCCAAAACCTCTTTCCAAATCGATTCCCTTTGCTAGTTTGCATTTGTTTCACGGTTCTCATAATACAAGGTTCTTTGTGAACAAGGCATAAAGGAGGTTTCTTAGGTCCTGACAACAAGTTCCGCCAAGCTTCACTTGATTGAACTGCTCTAATTGGATCGTAGTCCTTTATCCTGGGAGTTATCATTTCCTTTGCACTTGATGGTTGTACCTCGCTACCTGAGGATTCACTCAACTTCAGTGCTTTAAAAGGTCCTAAAGTTAAGTTAGGACAGAGGTAACATCTAGAATTATTTCGAAGCCATAAATTTCTCATTATTGTCGTAATAAAAATATGAATAATAAATTTTATGAAAGATTATATCTAAGTTAAGATTTCTCATTGAAAGGTTACTATTCTATTAGTCAAGCAACTATGTGATATAACACTTACGTCTCCTTACCGACAGAAGTGATTTTTGCTTGTTTTAGAGTAGATGTTTTACGTCTAGCTCCTGATCTTTCCAAACAAGAAATAGAAGTATTCAATATAGGAGGAATCTTTTCATTCTCCGCGTTGGAGATCTTAGAAACTAAATAATTTTTTATCTGCGTTTGTTTCGTTTGACACTGTGGCCAGTAGTGGGAACATTTTGGAGGAAATGAATAAGATAACTTTGCGTTTGAGTTGTATGAATACGGTAAATCTGCATATATTGGACAGTGGTCAGAACCGCAAATATCTGGCATTAAATCTGCTTTTATTTCATGATTCGGTAATGCATATAAATTTGCAAGTTGAGAGTCTACAAGAATATAATCTAGTCGAACTCCATAATTGGTTTGACGAGCATTTGTACGCGATGACCAGCAGGTAAACGCATTTTTCTGGTTCGGATGTAATAACCTAAAGTATTAAGATACAAACTGGACAAATCAGGAAAATATGCCAACGATTTGATTAAACTCAAGAGAAATTATGTGATTATTTAAAAATCAAATTTACGCATTTACTGGGAATTTAAAAACCTGTTTAAGTTTTCCTATCAACAAATCGCTTTAAATCACGTTTTGGTTTGGTGAACTACCAACAAAATTGAGTTTGAATATCTTGTACTCTTAAATTGTGAGCATATGCGAAAAACGAAGCCCTTTCAATTATCACTGAACACTAATTTCTTGATCAAACAGTCGATAGGAAAGTTGCCAATGCCCTTAGTAATATCTGTATACTAGAAAACATAAGAAATGATAGACTGGTTAAGTTGTAGTATGATACAGCGAATTCCTGGTGTGGTGGTCTGTCTTATGCAAAAAACTGTGGGAAGCAAGGAAACGGGCATACGTTGGACTGATGAGAACACACTCAAAGACATGGACTTTTCATACGACTTATGTCTAATGTCACACAAACTCGAAGATTGATATTCGCAAAGCAAGTTGTTGGAGTAGGCACCGAAGACAAGACTTTAAGATGATTCAGATACCAAACCAGCAACACTATAAACATGAGGAATCCAAAGGATAGCAAAAGCAAGACAGGGGTTCATTACTCTGAAATCGATGTGGAAATATAATGCACTCAACATAAAGAACAGGTTACGGATCTTCAGTACTGATTTCAAATCAGTGCTTCCACATAGTTTAGAGACTTGGCACGTCATGAAAATCATTTCTAAAAGCCTAGTGCAGATTTTTACTAACAACTGTCTTCGTCACATACTGGAAATCAGATGGCCAGAAAGGATTAACAAGAAGGAACTCTAGCAACGAACCTATCGCCCAACAAATATGCATAAGGGAATGCAGATGAATTGGACATACACTGAGAAGACTGTTGAGTGAGGTGATGCCCTAGGCTGTCGACTGGAGTCTGAATTGGAAATGACGAATTGGATGTTTAAGAACTATTGCTCGGAACATTTAACAAACAAGATTTTTGTGTAGCTCAACACCAGTAGGTAATCTTGGGGAGCTAAAAGTGAAGTAAGATTTTTATTGTTACGTCTTGAAAGGGTGTGATTTTGATTCATGACTTCTAGTAAGCTATAATTCGCACTTTCTCAACCTAGTTCTTTCAGTTATGCTGAACAGACCTAGAATTTTACTTTGTAAGTTGGAGACAGATTATGCATAGAACTCACAATTTTCTGTGGTCTGCAACATTCAAGACTATGACACTTGTTAACTCGACTGATATCGTGAAATCACCAGCAATAAAAAAATACACCTAAAAAAAGTTGCTATGTTTGCGGATGTATTTCACACAACGTATCATTATTTGGAGATTTTTTTCCTAATAATAGTAACAAGAGTTGATAAAATTAGGTACTTCTCATTTTTCTCACTTGTGTTGAATCAAAAAGTGTACATCTAGTTATACAGGTTCTCTTCTCCAATATTCTGAGATACTATGTACAAGGCATCCACTGATGATTTAGTCATTTACGAAGCTGTATACTTTTGGTGAAAAAGACATATGTGCACAAAATTTAATGCAGTTGCCACAGTTATACCCTTTAATATCTTCATTTATTTTATTAGCTTAAGATAATACATCACTTCATCAACATACAATTACAGAAAAAAGGTACATATACACAGATTGAATGGACAATAAAAAGAATCAATAAATTTAGAGTAATGAGTGAAATACGTGCTTCGCGTGCAGTATTACATGAATAGACCTAAAGCTTATTACTGACGCAACACCTTGGGCAGACACTCATTTTATATGACCCTATTTTTTAAACATCTTTATGCCAACAAAATCAAACACTGGGAATTTACTAAATACTTTAACTAACGGTTATTCAAACTTTATTTGTATCAATTTTAAAGAATGTTTTAAGTTACCTACCTGAAAATATCTACAAATCTCCTCGACTGTGAGTACTCTTCGGTGTTAAGACTTTGATCTCGTTGTTGTTCCACTAACAGTTGATCAAACCATTGACGAAATGGATTTGAAATCTTCTCTGCCTGATCAGAATAGAGAGAACAGCAAATGGATAAATACCAAACGTTGTCATTGCATATATAAAGTGAAACTGATAACAAGTGAATATCTTCATTACTGTTAGACAATAAGTAAAACTAAGCACAGGTAGAATATTGGGTTAGCTTGAACACAAGAGAATGACAGTCCAGTTCTTTTTGATAAATACACGTGGGCAAACGATGAAGTGATAAAACATTAAATGAAAGACAGTGTTTATTTATTTCAGTGGAAAAATCTGTAAACGTTTAGGACGTGATCCCTCAAAACATTGGTACAAAATCAGTCATACAATAATGCATCTTTTAATATTGCGACATAAGTGTGATTTAAAAACTCAAAAACCAAAAAAATATTACGGACAACAGATATAGGGTAAAAATTTGCAATAAATAAGGTTGCAATAAAGCGTGCGTGCATTCTTGCCACCACCATTCATATTAAGCCATACCACCTACATCTACATATATTGTTTTTTTGTTGTCTGCTGGAAGGTAGCAGTGTCTTAATCCGCTGATTTTATTCTTTAATCTGGCCACATTTAAACTTATCTCAATTTATTCTTGCATCGGCCTAACAATGAACACCAGTGTTGAGTTGTTAAGCATGCGTAAAATATGTCATTCACTGAGCCTTTTTAATTACACGGAGTTAACTTTTTACTTATCAGACTATGAACCACTTAGTTTCAGAGATGATGACACAACACAGGCCGCTGTGGATGAAGCAGAATTCAAACTCAAAGCTCCTTATCTGGAAGTCAAGTGCGAGAACCAATGAGTCATTCAATACAATACAAATAACCTACATTCAACTAAATCTCTGCATTGTTCATGAGATGACTCATTTGCACGCTGTCGATGATACGAAGTCTAGTGTAACCAGGAACCTAAATACTTATAAAATCTCTTCCCTAATAACTATTCAAGAAGTTAGCATATATACCTAACTCCTACCGGAAAACAGGGTTTCACCGATGTCATAAGCAGCGCAAATTAGAGTCAAACAAGCTAAACATACTACGACTTCTTAAGATATCCAGAAGACCGCGTTTCGTTACAGTCTTCACATAGAAGGACTATATAATTTGCATACTCTAAATCTATAAGAATTTTGCCTGGAAACAGTTCAGCCCATAAATCACCGAAGTCAATCAGAGTGACCTTCATTAGTACGTCCGTCATGGAAATTAAGTGAAAAATGGTGATTTGGGCATCCCTGGAGGATGTTTCAAGGTGTGGGCAGTTGGATGTTACGTCTTTATTCTGATTTATCTCCCTGGTCATTCAACTTCCTGGTGATCTCTAGGAAAGTATTTCGTCCCACGTTTTATAAAGGCGAATTAAGACAATAGTATAATTCAGTCTATGTTAACTCTTGCATTTTGCCTATTTTTCTTTATTGCCCTCTCCTATTTGTTCATTGTCTACTTAAAATGAAGACTATGTTATATTACGAAGAACTCTGAAATCTGGCATTAGGGTGAGTGATACTTCTCCTAAGCCAACTTATTGATATTCTCGTTGACAGACATTTGAACTCATGCAAGAAATTAGACAAAGTTATTTTGTCGAACTTTGAGTACTCTCATTATTCACAGCTTTCGCCTTGCCAGTCATCAGATAGGACGAAAAGTAATTTCAGAAGACCTTACAATCGTACCACTGAGTGGAAAAACTCAAGCATACCTCATTCGGCACTCACTTTGTGTGTAGAACTAAGCATTAGGTGTGAAGTTTCTAACTTACTTTGAAGTAGTAGATAAACGGTTATTTTTCATTCTTACTATCATTAATGTATTTTTCCACTTTCTTTATTATTTTTTTAGAATTTATCAATTAATTATTATCCTGAACAACAATTTTCTCCCTAATTATGTAGTAAATGAAAAAAATTACAGTACTGTGTTATACGGTGAGAATTCTACATTGTATCACAAATATTGCTTGAAATAAAGTCACCATTCAAGTTTTATCACGGATTATTATCAGCTAGAGAACCACTGAAAACCAAGGAGCACTGAACATCTGTTTCGTCCTGGTGTGACATCCTTCAGAAGGACGCATCCATGACCCAAAAATGGATCGAACTCAGAGCCCTCAGGTTAGCCACCGCAACGCAATTCAATGGCCGATTCATGAATTCTAATTTCTGTTGATTCGAGATTATTAGCGCCACAACCAAGCAGCGTCACAGGCGAATATTTGTCCTCGCACCCGACTTGGTGGACCTGAAACTAGGACGGAACACTTTTTCAGTACTCCCTGACTTTCAATAGTTTTTTTAACTGATACCAATCCGTAATCAGACTCGAAACTAATCAAATTCCTAAAAACTAACACTTGAAAGTTGTTATTATTTTCCAATTTATGATGACTACTTCTACTATATAAACATAATAACGTTGACTTATCATATTTCTTTTTGATTTCACCACATAAAAACGTAGTTTAGTTTAGTTCTGCTCCGTTTCATATACTTACTTCAAATTCATCGGGTGCACAATGATCGATCATCTTGTGACAAATATTAAAGTCACCAGCCATAACCACGAAACTATAAAAATGTTTATAAAATGCATTTATCGCTTACTTTTCTAACAAAAACAATTCAGTACATAGTTGTACAGCATGCTGGAAATTATGTTTGAAGCTCAAACGTTTCACATCTTCCGAATTGAGTCTGGGAAAATATATAGACATTACAACTAGTGGCAAACATTTCTTGGAAACGCTCCCTACAACATCAAAAATATCAGCTGGAAACTGCAGAGCCAATATTCGACCCTCAGCATCCAAGTTACGAGCTTCGGTATGAGAGATATTCAGTTCTCTCATAAGAAAATCCCATCCGTTTGTTAACTCACAACCATCGGAGCCTGGAGAAGTTAGTTCAATAATCATTTCATTTAAGCTGTGATAAGTTTTGACTGGTTTGACAGGATTACGACAAAATATTGCAACACCTGCCATACCAACGTATGAAAATAGAACATACCTGAGTATCCTGGTTTGTGTAAACTATGGCTGAAGTAAGCATTATAATTATCTGAGAATACGAATTCACTGCTTATATCCGCTTAATTGTTGAAGACAGCAAATAAAATAATCTTACGTGTAGATTTGGTCTCTTGAAGACAAATTATATCAGCTGAAAGTGAGTCCAAGACACATTTCAACGGTTGTTGAATGGAACGCAAGCCATTGATATTCCATGAACAAATACGGATAGGACTCATATCAATTTCATGAAAGACAACTACAAAGAAAGGGTATGCACACAATATTCGTAGGCAGCAATAGCGAAAGATGTTAATTTATTTAAGATTAGAAATTGTCATGTAAGAGATAGATCATTCAAAAATCATTCATTCATAGGACCAACTAATTCAAGCCATTGACGTATGCCAAGTAGCTGCTGAAGCCAGGACTAAACCATACTGTTAGCACAAAGTTGCCAGTCAGTCATTTAGCCATCACGCACTTTACCTACTTGTAACAGGATAGTAATTTCAAGATAATGTCAGGTCTGATGAGTTTTTAGAGACGCTCAATATACAATATCCCATAATTCACTGCAGATATCAAACTTGTAAATAAATAATGAAAACACAATTACTGGTTACCCGTAGTACAGTAAACTCTTCATTGTTTCAAGATAGACTAAACCCGACCACAGTCCATGATAAATACATACGACAGCAACTGTGGAGCAAAATTAGACTCTTGAAGCAAAGTAATTCAAAGCTTTTACTTAAAGTGAAAAAAATAATACAACTAATACAATACATGATACTGAATTCATTAACTACAAATGATTACGGTTGGATACGAATAGAATTTAACCAACTTGTGGGCTTTATATAAATAAATCCAAGCAAAACTAATAGTTACATTACCTCACGAAAACAGAGGATTGGGCTTTAAGTATAAATATTTGTTTACATAAAGCTGAAACATTATAGGCGACTATGGTATTAATGGAGTTAACAGTTCAAAGCACATCGTAGAAATACAAAGTAGCACAAAATTAGATAAATGTTAGCCAAGAAGAGGTGTATGTATACACAGTGAAAGTTAATTTACACAGAATGCGTGAATATCGCGTTTCGAAAACATTTTCACTTCAAAGTAACCAAAAGAAGTAGTAGACTTAAATTGGGCTTTTCCCACAATTTAACGTTAACTTGCACAGTACCACAGCAAGTAAATCGTAATTATAAAAGAACAGGTGTTCGACAAAGAGTTACTTTTCTCAGCAATATTCTCATGTTGTGCTTTTAGCAGTTACGGAATACAGAAAGCATTAGCCGGGTAGAAACTAAGATAAAATTAAACAAGTGACGCAACACAAGTGACAGGATTTAACAGAGCTAAAATAAAATTGAAAGAGGGTTAAGTTCCCATCAGTGTCATAGAAATTAGAAATACAATAGTGGGAAAGCAGAGAAAATAACAAAATTTTAAAAATTAGGATTAACAGAAGGATTACGCATCAAATGCTGAGAAAAAAGAGGCCCATTGTAGGTTCAGTAACTGAACAAACTTCTGCATACAGTTTAAAATTTAACATGCAGATCGCCATACCTCCTGTGTCTTTAAGAAATTTGATTCATACTTCAATGGTGAAATTTTTGCGTACTCCGTAGATGCCTTTGAAGTTGGTTTGTGAGTTCATTTGGTGTCCAGAATGAAGAAGCGGTGGATTCCCCCCCCCCCTCTGTAAAGCCATGATGGTAGATGTTCGATGATAAGTTTGGATACCCAACACCAAATACGGTCGACAAACATAGTTCCACAGGAACGGGTGAAATGATATAAACACACTGACAAGGCTAGTAGTGGTCGGTTATCCTTTACGCGTATTATTTTTTGATTATAGCTTGATTCCGCACCGTATTATTGGTACAAGTATGAAATTTTCAGCATGCGCTTTCGGTAGCCCATATATTGCAGGCCGACCACTGATATCAGGTGTGTGTCGGCAGGGGATTGAACCCCGGACCATGTGCATGGTCGGCGAGAGTCCTAACCGCTGTGTCACCAACACACAGGTATTGTGGAGAGAGTACGTCGAAGTCCAGCAGCGAAGATCTCCTCAGTGAACAGGACAAACGGTCCCTCAGTATTTCTGCCCATGAGTCCCTTCTGAATTGCAGATCCAGACGAAGAATTTCTTTGGGGACAAAAAGTGCATGTGGTTTTGATGGTGTAGGCTTTATGGATTTTGTGATGAAGCTTTCAGGGTAGCTATTTCCAATGAGAACCTAATTTATAGCGCTTAGCTTCTCTTTCATTGTGTCAGGACTGCAAATGTTGCGGATTTCAAAACTCGTTGAGCGGACCAGGTTCCATTTTGTATGTAAAAGTATATTCCATGTCCGCTTTCTGTAGATGAGTGTTTTCAATGTCCCGTTGTCTTTCATTGCGATTGTATATATAAACGAAGGAGTGTTTGCAATTATATCCCTTCTCCATCATGAATTGGATTGCAGAGTGACAACTGTTGAGGAAATCAAGAATATTTTCCAAATATTCTTCACTAGTGTAGATAATAAGCGCAACATCGACGTATCTCTTGTAAAAACTAAAGATTTCAATTATTTTATTCAAATATGTTTCCAACTTTTATCTTGGAGAAATGCTGTCTTTACTAGTTTGTGTTATGAACCCCAGTGTAGTAAAGGCTATTACATTATCCGGTGGATAAGTAGATACTGTTTCTGCATGAGTCACTGTCTACTGACATCGACAGCGACTTCTATATCAACTGTCCTTAGTTTTAAGTCATTTTTCCTGGGATATACCTGTTTTAGATATATATGTTTACCCCTGTGTAGCGACTTCAACCGCGAAGCATAAAATGCTTACTTCTACAGATGACTCTAGATAAGGAACAGCTGAAAAACATTCTAATGGCCGTCACTGTTTGACATCTTTTGACAAGTGTTCCAGTCAGCATATGCTGTAGTATATCTTCAATTTTCTCAAATTCAACTAGGAAGCTGATAAATTCCAGTTGTGCACACTCTACAGTAGAACTTACCATGGGGTAAGACGCACACAGCTACACTAAAACATTGAGTTATGTGCACATAAAGTACAACTAATTCCTACTCGAATTCAAATAAAAACTATTCAAACTACTACTCCCTAGTTAGCATCGACTTTGGGCGCATCTGTACAGTACTGCAGATTTCCAGGCATAGGTCGGGTGCACCACATATTATCGTGTCAAACGTTAAACACACTACGGCAGCTCTGGGACAGACATTAGGCACACTGCAAAAACTGCCCCAACTTCTAAAATGTACATTTTACAGCTTAAAGTGGACCCAACATCTCTGTGCTACTTTCAATACTTTTGATAGCTAGTCTAATATATTCGACTGCCCATGCATGAGCAGGTTTTGCAAAATCTTTTTATTATAATAACTATATAAATAAGCAACACACACTAGGACGACACGAAAATCAATTAAACATGATTTAATTTGGGATTTACCATCTATTTTAATCCATTATATAACCTATACACAGAAGTTGCGGTCAACTGCAACGGAATCTGTAAAGTGACTACTAGCAGTTTTCATTCGTTTTAACGCCACATCAACTGACTCGATTCCTATTGGTTGATACTGTTAACATACATGTTCGCCTGGTTGGTTCGATCGTTACTTCTTGATTAATGTTAACAGATTTATTGCAGGCCTTTTGCATGTTCTACCTGCTGTGAAAGTTAGAACTGTTAATTTGTCCAAATACGCGAGCACTATTCAATTGAGATACGGTTATTATAAATAAATAAATATATATATATATAAAAATATTATTCCCTTGAATTCCGAGTGGAACATGGAGCTTCAACAGAATATCTCCATTGTATCCTATCTTAAACCAGTCCTCTTAAGCTGGCCTCACGAGTGCCCATAGTCTCTCAATTCTCCTAGTACGTTCTCCCCCATATCACCCTCGGACCTACATCCAACTCGCCCTTTCCCATTCGATTTTCACTCCATCGATTGCCAAGCGTGCGGTGTCTCCTCACAGTGCGTCCGATCCATCTCCATTTTCCTCAAGATACTTTCTGGGCAATAGGTTCCTGGCTGGATCATACCCAGAATTTACTGTTGTTAATTTTTTCTGGCCATCTAATGTTCAATATGTTGATAAAAGTTTGCAACCTGTTCTGAGTGTTTTACGCCACACGGCAAAACACGGAGGTCCGTGAGGATAATTCTGTGTATCCGACAATATGGAGGTGATCATTATTATCAAACTATAAATTCTGTGTGTGCATATCTCACAAACTTCCAACGGCTGTAACACACTACGCTTTTCGATGAGAGAAATTGATTTGAGTAGTTTAGAATATGTTAAACCAAACCTAACCCTTATGAATAGTAAAGGGGGAATCTGTTGACGAGTTGACAGGTCAGTGGCCTCAAACCTGCTATTACCGTTTCAAATTCGGTAGGCCTACAGTTCTATTATAACATGATTTATCATTTTCTTTTCCTCCTCTTTCACACCATAGCTCACAGCCGCCAATTACAACTTAGATTTCGTGAGGCATTTGGTCTCACATGATTTTGTCCTTCGTGTTATAACGAATACCACACTCAAACCAAGCACTAAGTTTGGCTATTTTAGGTTGGCATTATAGATCTCCCACTGGAATATGTTGTCGTGACTGCTATACTGTGCGTGAAACAACCTTGTGATAATCTTCGTACCCAACTAGTTATGTGGAAGACGAGATAGTAAACAGAGTTGATGACTGTGTGTACAAATGCAGCTCCATGACTGATTTATATATTTCGGAGCATTGTTACGCTTCATTATGATACTGTGGCAGAGTTCACTAGTTTGTTATTGTCACATAGCAGTTTATTTTTTTCCCTGTCACATTGCTTGCGCCTGATACCTACCTAGGAATCTGCTTGCAGGCTACTTCTGTTATATACGTTATTCATAACGAAAAAGATATTTTAAAAATTAAAAAGGGCTTTTACAAAAATAATATCAACCTTGTCCTTTGCATTCAACCTGTATTTGGTAGGTTTCAGGGCTTAAAAATCTTTCTCAAATGTTGACACTTAATTTTTCTCACTGTGGAGCATTGACAGAACCAACGGTGCTGACGATGTCACGCAGGTCGCTCTCTTCTGTCATTATATTGAAAACTTTTGCTCATTTGGCTGGTATATATGCCAGATAAACCTCGCACAGTTAACTGGCTTGCTAGCATTCTAGCGGGTTCCAAGCTCGGGTAAAGAGGGAAGCTTAGGCGTGAGGCTGGCGACCCTAGAACACAAAAGCTTAGAAAACTGCTGAAGAAACTTCAAAACACAAGAAATACATTAAAAATACAAAAAATCAAGTGACAGTCTTATTCTTCTCTGGAGTCGGGGAGACGAAATGGTACAGTGAGTTGGTGGAAGCCTTCGGTAAGCCAGTCAGCTAGCAGATGTGTCGTCTCGATGAAAGCAAGATTAAGAATGGGGATGTGAAATGTACGTACACTGTACAAGGCTGGGCTGGGAAGCCTGCCCAAGTAGACGAAGAAATAAGAAGATATGGTATAGAAATGCAAGGAATCTGTGAGAGCAGATGGAATGGATGTGGACTATCGAAATTGTCAACTGGTGAGTCATTAATCTACTCGGGTCACTCGGAAGACAACCACGAGC